CCAAGGCATTTTCTCTCATACAGTTTTATATTTCATTTAATCCTGAGGAAGCCAGAGAGAGCAGGCGCTCTCTATCAAAATACATTGTTAATAAAATTTTCCACTTTGTCTCATATATCAAGTCATCTCAAGATCATGAAACTTAAGTTACAACTAGAGCCATCCTTTTGTAGGATTTAATATTTTTAAGCATTTTTGCTTCATCTAGGCAATCCAGGCTTCGAGCACTTTACAGAATAGTTACGTTTGCCTTTAAGAAATTTTTCTTTCTTTTTCAGGTTTGTCATTTGTTTTTTGCAAGTTGTCCATGGGGTCTATCAACAGATTTTGCTTTTCTGATCTATATATATATATATATATATATATATATATATATATATATATATTTAAATATTATTTGTTTTTGTTTAAACATTATTTTTAATGGATACTCATATTTGAATAGATGCTCTGTTTTTATTTATTTATTAATCAGTATATTTAATTATTTCCATCTACCAGCCTGAATATTCAAGAAAATCTTCTTAGAAAAATATACACCCTCCAGCAGGATTTGAACCTGCGTCCCCTAGGGGAAACTGTCATTAGTTCTGACGTACTTTGACCTCTTGGTCACATAGGACCTCCTAATCAAACAAAGTGTGAATAGTGTGGAGATCCTACATGGCCAAGAGGTCAAGGCACATCAGATCTAATGACGTTTTCCGCTAGGGGTCACAGGTTCAAATCCTGCCAGAGGGTGTATACTTTTCTAACAAGATTTTCTCAAATATTCAGGCTGGTAGATGGAATAAATAAAAACAGAGCATCTACTCAAATATATATGAATGTACATTTAAAATTGTACTTGCTATACATTTTAGACAAAAATTTAAATTTACATACATTGGCTTGAACTTTCAAGCAAAAAAAACCTTGAATTGAGAACATAACCTTTGTGTTATAAACATTTTTGTTGAATGAGGAAAAAAGATACACAAGTTTTAATATGCAAGTTTAAAAATAATAGCAGAATATTTTCAACCAAAACACAAGGCAATATGAAGCTGGTGCTGCTAAACATAAATGGCATTTATCTTCAATGCAAAACTGCTGAAAACTGAGAGAAAAAAAATGAAAGATTGGTTCATGTTTGTCGGCATTTTTAGACATCAAAAATGAATCTAACAACAAAATACAGAAAAAAAAGGAAAAGAACATTCAATCCTAGAATAAAATACAATACAAATTTTAATGGTAACAAAAGATAATTATCCATGAGTATATATATATATATATATATATATATATATATATACACACACACATTATATATATATATACACACACACATATATATATATATATATATACAAGGTTAAGTCAAAAATTATTCACACTTTCAGCATAACATATCTTTAGACAAGAGTGCAGATAATTTTTGATATTTCTTTGTAAAATAATTTCTAAGGAATCAATGGACTTATACATATCAGTAGGAACTAATGTCGAATGTGTGTGTGTGTGTGTGTCCATCTCTCTCTCTCTCTCTCTCTATATATATATATATATATATATACACACACACACACACACAGTGGAGTAGTGGATAGCAGCTTGGATCAAGGCATCAGAGAGCTGTGTTCAAATTCCATTACATTCACTTACGTGCTAATACTCTTGGGGAAGGTATTCTCTTCTTCTCCCCCAACTATGAGTAAATATCAGGACAGATTGGGTTCTATAGCCTTGGATGGCAACTGGTCTAGGAGAAGGACAACTCTGAATTCAAAACCTGCAGTTTTCCAAGTCCTTCTTCCTCATTATGTGATCCCAAAATTTCAACTACCTCTTCTTGATGTAATTTTCCTTTTTGTTTCCATTTTTTTCAAAACCTCATTGTTGCTCACATATTTCATCCATGGTATCTCCAGCATCTTTCTGTAGAACCATATTTCTGTTGCTTCAAGTCTCTTCTTCATCTTTGAGAAGATTGTCCAGCATTCGCTGCCATACAGGAGGACAGTTATCACGTAACAGTTTAGTACTCTTTTCTTTGTTTCTAACTCTTTCTGTCTCTTAATACTCTGCATAGCTTTTTGAATGCATATTTGGCCATCCCAGTACATCTTTAGGTCTCAGTGGCACACTTTCCATTCTCTGTTAGAACACTTCTCAGATATTTAAATTTCTGCTCTTGTTTGATTTTAGTATCCCTGATTTGTAATTTGCATTTTGGGCTCATCCTTTTTTGCTGATAACCATGCATTCTGTCTTCTTGTGGTTTAAACTTAGTCCTTTTTTCTCATTTTCTTTTGCTACCTTCTGCAAAAGTTTTGTAGATTCCTTTCTGTGTCTATCAACAGTGTCATGTGCATATTTTATATTAAGATTGTTGCTGCCAATAATGAATCCTGGTAGGACTTCTAATTCTCTCAGAATTGCCCTGCTGTATAAATTAAATAAATCTGGTGAGAAGACACATCCTTGTCTTACACACCTTTCTATTTTTGTATATCTACTGTACTCAGTTTCCTGCCAGTATAGATTTTTGATTATTCTAATGTGTTTCCCAAATATGTCAACGTTGCTGTGCAGCTCTAACAAATCTTTGTGGTATACTTTATTGAACACCTTTGTGCAATTTATAAAACACAGGTACACATCCTTCTGCATTTGTATTGCTCTGATAACATTCTGAGTATAAATATTGGTTTCCTTGTTCTGGTGTCTTTGACAAACCCACACTGTTCTTGTCCTATCTTCAGTCTGATTCGGCTGTGTGCTCTATTCATCAGAATTCAGATAATGAGTTTTATTACGTGGCTCATTAGGCTGATTGGCCAATGAAGTTCACATTCATTTGTGCCAGGTTACTTCGGCAGTGCTATGAAAATAGGTCTACTTAGGTCTTCTGTTATGTCACCACTGTTGTAGATTTAATTTATTATTTCTGTAATCTTGTCTATGCTGAAATTATCTAAGTCTACCAGCATCTTTTGTTACAATTCTGTCTGGCTCTGCCACATTGTTTCTGTTCAATTTAGCCAGTGCAGCTTCCACTTTAGTTTTTAATTTTTCTGGTCCGTCAATATTTTTGTGTATTGCTGGTTGTTCTCTTTTGTTGTGGAAGAATTCTCCTATATATTTGTTATGTCCCGAAAAGGGACATATTTGTTCAAAGTAGCTAAGTGGTTTTGGCTACTGTAACCAGGTAGGACAATCTAGCAGGTAACCGTAATGGACTGGTACTCATCATAGTCGTAGGCCATGTACCTCCACATCAGTCTGTATTTATGGCTGACACCAGCCAATCATATTACTGTGAGGGGGAACCCAGGTGTATGCATATTCATTACATCAATATTCATTCAATCTTTTTTTCAATATTTTTTTTCTATGAGCATTCTGTCCTTGGATTTTATGCAGCCTGTTGATGAGCATGTCTTTTGTCCTGTTAGTTCTCTTATTATTTTATGCATATCTCCTTTATCTGTGATACTCATTCTTTCTATTACTGCACATTTTTTGGTGAGCCATTCCCTTTTAGCTTGTCTGCATTTGTTCCTTATGTGTGTAGTTTTATGTATTCTGTTCCATGTCTTGGCATTGTTTTCTGTCTCCTTTGCATCATGTTGAAAATCTCAATTGTCATCTATTCATTTTTTCTTCTTTATCTATTTTCCTTTGGGATGATCTAATTTGCTGATGTCACTAAGGCTTCTTTTAGTGTGTCCCACTTCAAGTTTCCATTTCCATTTTTGTTTCTCATATCTTCTTTTCATACTGTCTATATTTCTCCTTCAGGTTTGGGTCATTCAAGAGTCTGTTGTGTTGCAATTTGGGTGCTGCATTAGGTTTCTTCAGTTTCTGTAGTTTCATTCTAAGTTTATATATAACAGAGAGGTGAGCACTTTGGCAGTCAGCACTTGGATAGGTTTTGCAGTGTTGCAGATTCCTGAATCTTGTTGATAGTTATGTAGTCAATTTGGTTTTTCATTTCTCTTCCTGAGCTTCTCCATGTCCATATTGTCTTGGATGTTCTTGGAAGTATTTTTTTTTCCTTTTGCATTTAAATGCTATGTCTGACAGTTATGCTTTAGCCTTCATTAGAACATGAATATTTATCCATCATGGAATTTTTTCTTTTATGTTTAATGTCACAGTCAAGCTTGCATTAAAGCATAAAAACTGTTCTTTTAAACGCAAAAGAAAAATTCAGTAATGAATAGCTACACATAGTTTTTGCCTCACCAGTTGCACCCCGGATAATGATTTCAGAAAGAGATGAAAAGTACTTGGGAAATAAAAGTGTTTCTCACTGTTACAGTACATTACTTGCTTTATTGTAATATATGGAGAAATATTCACAAATATGAAAGGATGATGATGAAAATAAGCAGACATATAATGTTTGTAATTTATTCAATCAGACATGCCTAAAAGAGAATGCTGCTTAAATACACAAATATATATTATGAGATTTTTCAAATTTTTATAAAATAATACAAGTATATATATATATATATATATATATATATATATATATATATATATATATATATATAGAGAGAGAGAGAGAGTTTCAAATTTTTTATAAATAATACAATATCATATATATATATATATATATATATATATATATATATATATATATAATTAATAATCAAACAAATCCTTTGTTTGATTATTATATTACTCTGTATAAATTAAATAAAATACATAGAGCTCTTTTTTTTTTGGGATTAGTTCTAATATTTTCATAGTACTAAGATCCACTTGGATTATATACCATCGGACTTTTTTTACCTTATTATATATTGAAATTTTTTTTATAAATAACACAAATATATATCATATATATATATATATATATATATATATATTGAAATTTTTATAATTTTTATAAATAATACAAGTATATATTATGAAAAAAATATATATATATATATTAATATAAGTATATAAGTATATTAATATAAGTTCATAATATAAATTAGTCAGAGGTCAACAGGACTCACCTTTAGGTGGAGCACTTCTTGTCACAAGGTGGAGGGGTACGGATACTGCCCGTCGGTAGGGGGGTTTGTTCTTGAGACTCTCACTCACAGAACGAATACTGTCTGTCCGGGCCAGTGCAAATCGGGCTCGGTTGAGTTTCCTCAAAAAATGCTCACTTTCACGATCACTACTGGTCAAATCTTTAAGGAAAAAAAAAGTAAGAAACAGGGAATTTTAAAAACTTACAAGAAATATGAAACACAGGTTTCTACAGTCAATACTATTCTTTACAGAGATTTTTTTTCTATTGTTTGTTATTTAATTATTGTAGAATAAAAATCTGATGAGTTGGAAGCCATTATTAAAGTACAAGATAAATAACACTATCAGAATTAATAAAGTTTTCAATGAAAAGAAAAAGCGTCAAAAAGATGAAACAGCAACAATCATACAAATAAGCAAGCAAACAATATGGCTAAAAATCAAATTTGATAAGGCAAAATAATTCACAAACTAGGAGTTGGTGTTTGTACACAAAAGTAAAGTTGACCAAATGAACACAGTATGTCTGTCTAGAAGTTAAGGTAGATCTGGACTGAGTCATGCAAGCCATCCCATTTTATTGACTAAGAAAAATATCACATCATGTAGTCTGTGTCCTTCTGACTATAAGAGGTGGAGGGGGGAACTTTTGCAATCATTCTCCACATTGAGAAATCAACAAAATCTGATAGTGAAAATAAAACAGAATTGAAATTAAGAATAGTTAAAAATGAATAATAATTGAAAATGCTTCATCTAAGAAATTCAGACAACTTAAGACTATTACTACTTGGTGGAAAAGCAAGAGAAATAAAATGAAAGAAATACTAATCAAAAATGAATAATAATTGCAAATGCTTTATCTAAAAAAATTCAGACAACTTGTTAAATAATAATCATTAGTTTTCTTGTCAGCGGTGCAACATAAACTTTTTACTCCAGTCTATTTTAGCGCATGACAAATGAACACTTCACATTACTAAATTTTGAGTTCCCAAATACAGATTTCCATTTGTTTTCTCTGGAATTCTTTTCACCATCTACATTTTGCATTTTTTTCTTGGAATTGTATTTTTTATTTGCCAAGAATTAATTTTGGCCTATCTGAATTCCTCGTTTTTGTTGTCCTTGCTTTGACCTGCCAGATCATTGTTTATTTTTAAATGTTAGAAGGCCCTATCTGATTAAACCAACTCAAGTTCATGTGTTCTGCTACAAACTTAAGACTATTACTATTTGGTGCAAAAGCAAGAGAAATTAAATGAAGGAAATACTAGTTAAATATTTGAAAGTTCCAATAAAAAGCAATCAAAATTAAAAAGACAATGCTTCATTTAAGAAATTCAGAGACAAAAATTATATAAAAGTCATTTAAAATTAAGAAACTTTGATGGGTCATGCATAAAGGCATTAAGATTCTTTGAAGGAACATTTGAAACAAACACCAGGATCGAGATTGTTACCATTGTAGTTGAAGACTGTAATAAAAGCCATGGCTTAACAGGAATAAATGGGATAAGGTTAATAGCATATGTTTAATTCAGGCTATGAATTCAGATAATCATGAAAATGGACTCTTAAAAGATTATAAAGCAAGTATTAAATTGAAAGAAAATTGTAACCACTTATATTTTGAATCTTAGAGACTTTTTTAGAGATCTTTTTTATTGACCTCTCACCAAAAGAGCACATCAATTTGAGTGGCTCTGGAGACCACAGATAAGTCTTCCACAAATAGTATTTTCTCATATTTAATATCAACTTTTAATGATAGACTTACAAATAATTTATTCATTCATTATGATAAAAATCAGAAACATTTACTAGCAACCACATTACAAGAATTTTCATACAGCTATCTAACAAGTACAACCAAATTCTTCTGATAATATAAATATATATATATATATATATATATATATATATATAAAAAATGTCTCACTTTGCTGTTATATATATGTTATAACAGGAGTCAAACAAGGCCCATCATAACATGTTTATTACCCTTGGTAGTTGTGAAACTATGTAAAATGGTTGAACAAGATATTTTGGAACATGTTCCCCTTAGTGGAAGTTAATGGACATCCCCTTAGTAGGTCTGAGAAAGCCAAATGGTGATCTTAGAATCTGTGGTGACTATAAAATAGGTGTAAACCATAAGATTTGTTCAAATTATTATCCTATCCTGAATATTGAAAATATATTCATTAGCAGGAATGAAATGTTTTATGAAAACTGATCTAAAAAGCACATACCATCAAATTCAAAATTCAGGTGATGGTAGATAACTAATGATAAAAATTGTGTTGGAATGTGTCATGAAAAAATAAATGATTTTGTTTCTTTCTCTCCTGCTGTTGTAGCGACGGACACAGTCTCCACTTCTGAGACTGAAAAAAACTGCCCTCCTTCTCATTCCAGCCCTTTACATAGAGCTTGGTAACTCACCTATGCAAAACACCAACAAGCCAGCTACCAATCACAGTTCCCGCACCTGCCCACCTCCACTCACTTTGGGGGTGTCAAGTTGACCAACCAACTCATTACGAAAATGGTTTATTAGGGAAATTTAAATTTCCGTAATAAATCAATTTTTTCACTAGTTATCTACCATCGCCTGATGAGGTACCATCTTAGTGCCGACACATGAAACTGAAATATGAAAGTAGCAACATAAAATGTTTTTATTGTAATTTATTATAATAAAAAAAAATATATATATATATATATATATATATATATATATATATATATTCCTAACATTTGTATATCATATTTGATAAATATTCTTTCATGTAAACTGTCCTCATATTTTAATTACACCCTTTTCTGTTTTTCTTATTGAGAGTACTTTCAGATGTCAAGTCTGGCCAACCCAACAGGAGTTTAAGTATTTCATTATATATTCTATGGAATATATGGTGGAGTAATGGATAGTGGTTTGGACTGAAGAATCAAAGAGCCAAGTTCAGATTCCAGTCAAGTTCATTCCATTCATTTAAATGCAAATATCCTTGGGAAAGGTATAAATCCGTCTGTTCTCTCCCCATATAATGGCTTAAATAGCAGGATAGACTGGGCTCTCTAGCCGCAGTAGGCAATCAATCTAGAAGGATAACACTGAATTAAAAATCTCCAACTATGCATTAAATAACACCACCAACCTGCAATTGGCCAAGTATGGTGAGTACAGTTACATCCCTGAGGAGATGATTAATCAGGGAGAGCTTCCTTCAACAGGAGTGAAAAGGATTTGGATTAATGTCACCGACCAAGATGTTATCCCTACAAAATCTTCAAACTAAATGAATTTACCTGTTGGATAAGATATATCGCCGGTAGTTTCTAGATCTAGCTGAGCTTCGAGAGACAGAGTATCAAAACGTGAAGAGAAAAATTCCCAAGATAAAATTGGTTGGTCTGGTAGTACGCTGGATAACAAATGGATTCGATGCAGAATCATTGTGCGGTCACTTATCACTGTGTCAAACTGGAACTCTAAGCATTGAATTAAGCACTGCAAATAAAAGAAATAGTCATTGATTAAAATAAAGGAGAAATTATCTTTGTAGAAAAACAATGTTTAGTTAATACACATCTGTGTGGGTTAACTAAACTATAGATAACTGTAATAAAAACACAGAGATTTTTACATCAATTTCTCTTGACCACCTTCACTTCAATTATGTAAAAAAATAGCTTTAATCTTCCATAGTGTTTAAAACATTTATTTTTAATCCAGTATCTTTATTACTTCAAATGTTATTTTTAGTGGATACTCGTTTCTGAAATAGATTCCCCTTAAAATAAAAATCAGATATCCATTTCAAGCACTTGTATCCACTATAAATAATGTTTACAGTAATAAATGTGTCAAATTAAAAATATTGTACTGGTTGTGTACAATAAACCTTTCTTCTATTATCCACCTGGTGTTAAGTATTTATTCCCTTAGCACGGAATATAACACAAGACGATTCATTGATGGCAAAGTAACCAAATTGAAATCAACATTTTTTATTAATCTTTTTAAAGAATTTAAAAGTAAAAATGCTAAGAAATAACTTTCAAGAAAAACTTTAATGAGAATTCAAAACAAAAATTATAAACTTACTTTGATTGCTGAGGGATTGATTGTTTCTAAATAAATAATGGTCCTTTGTGATACAACAGTGTTAAGATCTTCAAGGGAACCAATGAGGTAGCAAAATGCATGTGATAATGCTGTTTGGATGACTTGGTTGTTATGGATTGAGTCAGCATTCAACAAGCGACAAATCACAACTACTTTTTCAACTAAAAATAAACAAAAATGTCATTTCAAAATGCTGTTAAATAAAGAATAAAAAAAGATTAAAATTAATAGTAATAGCGAAGAGTGTATTGACTGAGAGCGTTGAAATAAAGAGCAACAATAAAGACAGAATGAAACTAGTAATAAAACAATACATGGTGCGACAGAAATACCTTTCACATAATGGTAAGGCATTAGCTAGATGGAGACACTATTGCCACTAATGTCTGTAGGAGGTATTTCTGCCACACCTTGTAGTAATATCAGAGTGTATTTATTAGTAAAAGGGTGAAAATAGCCTTTCAAGTTTTTTGATAGAGCCAGATTAATTTGGGATAAAAAATTGCAGGTTTGGGGTAATTAAAATATAAAAAAGCAACAGTAATAAGATGCAATAAAACTACTAATTAGTAATGAAGAGTGTATAGAGCCAGAGTGTTGGGATAAAAAGCAACAATAATAAGATGGAATAAAACTAGTAATAAAATAATTGTAGTAATGAAGAGTGTATAGAGCCAGAGTGTTGGTATAAAAAGCAACAGTAATAAGATGGAATAAAACTAGTAATAAAATAATTGTAATAATGAAGAGTGTATAGAGCCAGAGTGTTTGGGATAAAAGCAACAATAATAAGATGGAATAAAACTAGTAATAAAATAATAGTAATGATGAAGAGTGTATAGAGCCAGAGTGTTGGGATAAAAAAAGCAACAATAATAAGATGGAATAAAACTAGTAATAAAATAATAGTAATAATGAAGAGTATATAGAGCCAGAGTGTTGGGATAAAAAGCAACAAAATAATAAGATGGAATAAAACTAGTAATAAAATAATAGTAATGATGAAGAAAATAGTAATAATGAAGAGTGTATAGAGCCAGAGTGTTGGGATAAAAAGCAACAATAATAAGATGGAATAAAACTAGTAATAAAATAATAGTAATAATGAAGAGTGTATAAATCCAGTGTTTGGTAAAAAGGTACAATACAGTAGAATCAAACTAGTAATAAAAAATAACTGAAAAATCAAGCATTACTTTCAGAGCAGCATAATAAAATTCTGTTAATTTAACTTAAAAAAGAAAGAAAGAAGAAAAGAATGAAAAGTGATTTGCTTACCAGCAGCAAATCGTATTTTCCAATCATCTGACCCAAAATCTGTCTCAACCATATGCCACAGAACATCTGCCCCAGTCGGAAGTGTTAAGGCATGTAATATTAAGGGAACACAAATGGATACCAACTGTGAATGTTCAGCTTCCATCAATTTCCATAAACTGAAACGACAAAACATAATACAAGTCAGGACATTTAAATTTCAAGAAATATATTTTAAAATATGGTTTATTCCACTACAGTTATAACCATGTTTCAAAAATAGAAGCTAAAAGCCCCGAATTTAATTTTGCAATTAAATTAAAAGCATTAGTTCCATAAATATATATATATATATATATAAATAAATACATATATATATATATATATATATTCCTTTTTCAGACTTACTGTAGATAGAATTTGTCTAAATGATTGTCGTCCCAAGCACTTTCAGCTAATTTGTTAGTCATTTTAAAAGGAAAACAAAAAACGAAACACTTACGCTGGCATGAGTTTTTTGCTGAGTGTGTATTTGATAAAATCCTGATGGGTTTGAATGCTATAGTTTAGTGATTCTCCATGCAACACAAGATATTTCAAACTGGTCAGTAGATAAAAACTGGCATCTACGTCAGGATCAGAACACAAACACTGAAAAAATAAAAGAAAATTCATGAATAAGCTGTAAGAAAAATAAATTTCAAAAAAATATTTAAAATCATATATGATTGACAGACATTTTTTTTCTTCTTCTCCCAGGAGAATAACACTTTTTAAGCAAAGGCAAATGATTGACAATATTGCCCTACCTCAAAACCTACAAAATAATATTCTAATATCATTATTACTATAAAGCAATTATTCATTTTTCACTAGTATTTCTTTCATCTTATTTCTCTTGCTTTTCTACCAAGTAGTAATAGTCTTAAGTTGTCTGAATTTCTTAGATGAAGCATTGGCAATTATTATTCATTTTTGACTAGTATTTCTTTCATCTTATTTCTCTTGCTTTTCCACCAAGTAGTAATAGTCTTAAGTTGTCTGAATTTCTTAGATGAAGCCTTGTCAATTATTATTCATTTTTGACTAGTATTTCTTTCATCTTATTTCTCTTGCTTTTCCACCAAGTAGTAATAGTCTTAAGTTGTCTGAATTTCTTAGATGAAGCATTGGCAATTATTATTCATTTTTGACTAGTATTTCTTTCATCTTATTTCTCTTGCTTTTCCACCAAGTAGTAATAGTCTTAAGTTGTCTGAATTTCTTAGATGAAGTGTTGTCAATTATTATTCATTTTTCACTAGTATTTCTTTCATCCTAGTTCTCTGTCTTTTACACCTTGTAGGAATCGTATTGTCATTATTTTTGACAAATATTCTTTCATTTCATTTTTGTCGATTTTGTTGCTGCTCTGTGTGACATTAGCAATATTCTTAAACTATATGAATTTATTGTTAATTATTATATTTTAATTCATCTTAATTTCAGATGTTTTTGTCACAGAACTCAAACAATCATTCTACAGCAGTGAGTCATCAATGCACATCAGAAATAAATAATTTTACTTTCATTCTTTCTTAATATTTCACCAGTTTCTTTCATTGTTTTTCTTTCTTAATATTGCCAATCTCTTCTTTCTTATTATCTTCTTCATGTTTAATTTCTCATCACTTTTTCTTTTTTTCATTTTAATATCTCCTCATTCTTATATGCCCCCACCATTTTTCTTTTATTCTTTATTTCTTAATATGACCCCTCCTTTCATTCTTTATTAATCTGTCCCACTTTTTTTTATTCTTTCTTTTTTAATATCACCATTCCTCTTTGTATAACCCTGCCCAACTTTCTATCTTTCTCACTATGTCCCCACTCTTTTTCAATATGTTCCTACTCCCTTTCCTTTATCAATATGTAGCCACTTGCTTTCCTCATTTTTTACTTTCTTAATGTCCTCACCCTCCATTCTTTTTCTTTCTTTGTCCTCACTTTTTTCTTTCTCTTTCTCAATATGTCACCACTCTCCATTTTTGTTTGTTTCTTTCTATGTCCTACTCTTTTCTTTCTCAATATGTCCCCATTCCTGTTTTCTTTCTTTCTTTCTTAATATTTCCTCTTTTTCTTTTTTTCATTCTTAATTGCAAAATACAATAAAAAATAATAGCCCTATTCTTTACACACACACATATATATATATATATATATATATATATATATATATATATATATATATATATATATAAAAATATGGATTAGCTGAGTGGTATAGCATGTCAGATCAATTGATGGTTCTGTATAGGACACTGGTTTGATTCCTGTTCGAGAATGCATATTTTCTACAAAATTTCTCAAACATTCAGATCGATAACTGTAACAATGTTCATTTAAAAAACAGATCATTTAAATTGTATCTAACAAAATAATGTACAAACAGAAAACATATTTTATATATATATATATATATATATATATATATATATATATAAAAAAAGCATAATATTGACACATTAGTTGTCAGCATTAGTGAAATTTCCACAAGAAGTCAAGTTAATATATTTCAATGAATTCATATTTAGATGAAAGACTGAATCAGTGAAACAATGATACAAGAAAAACCAATAAAATATTCACCTGTACTAAAGAGTTGTAGAGTTGTAAATAGACAGGCATGTCTGCCATATAAAACTCATGTTTTGGACTTGGCTGTAAATGTGGACGAGTTTCATCATGACCACTGCTGTTACTAGAATCACTGGCTAAAATATGGAAACGAAAACAGAAAAGATGCATTTTAACTCAAGATCAGATGTTATAACCTTTTGCTGTATTTTCTTTTGTATAATAAGAGAGATTTTGAAAAATTAAAGGCAAAAAGAGGAGTATTATACACAAGTACACATTTTCAGAAATTCTTACTCTGCTTATAAAACCTCTTATTTGAAAGAGCAAGATTGCAAATAGACTCAGTTTTGTTCATGACACAAACTTTGTTTATATTTTGATTTCCTTCTTTTTTATAAATTTTTCTCTCTTCATTCTTAACAAAAGACAATATTTTTTTTTTATTTTCATAGCTTATTAAGATATAGAAATATAATAAAGTCATATCAAACAGAAAAGTATGATAGATTAATGTTGTGTCGGAAACCTACCACCCCTCTTGAAGACGAACTTGTCTGCATCTATGAACAAAGACTTTAAATAATGGCATGTCAGTTGACATGAGGGAAGACAGATAGACCGAGAAGTTCTTAGTTGAGCTAGTTATTGACTACTCAGGCGATTTCTGTATCTTTTTACCAACCTATTAAAACCCTTTTTATTGTTACGTGTTATTTGGTGTTTGTCTCTACTAACCCCAAATCAACATCATAACAATTAATTAATACCTGAAAATGTATTACCAGGTATGTGTAGTTAGCACCTTTCCTCGAAATTTGAAAATAAGTTTGGAATGGAAATTAGAAGTAACTCGCAATGGCTGCACATCCGGTCCATTTCTGTTCTTTAATTTCGGAAATAATTAACTATTTTAGTGAAATATATGTCATTGAGATTTTAATGGATAATATGGTACAACTTTTCAAAAAATATTTACATAGGGATGACTGTACTACAGGGGTTGCATTATACTCAGGGATTTATTTCCCTTTTTTAGCTTCAAAAACACTAGTGAGTTGTATTATGCTCAAGTCGTATTATATACAGGGAAATATGGTATGAATTTGCATAAGGCTAAATTTTGTCTATGCATCACTGACTTTACATGAGCAGAACAAAAGCGGCCATTGTGTTTAAATATTATTTAACACTTCCGCTGCTAACTACAGAGATCTTCGTTTTTCTTATCTTGCTCCAGCTGGCTAAGTACGAAACCTACGTTTTTTGCATACCACTGGTATGAGTGTTCCGTTCTACATCTATCGTAAAATCACAAGGACAATGCTTCAAAAGATATCATGTGTATACCCATTACTAATCTGGTAAGTCATTCCCAGGTATATCCATGAAAATGGAAGGCTGTAAAACACACTGGTGCCAGTTTTCTGTGTAATAAAATATGTAGGTTGAAATTTGGCATTTTCTTTAAAAATGGCTGGCCGGATGGGGGCAGCACTTTGGCAAATGAGTAGCAGTGAAAGTGTTAATAAGAACAATCTGACCGTATGATTTGATTGCTAAGAAACTATTTCGATGATGCTATATGAGGACTTGGTTTAGTAAGCGTAGATATTTTGGGCATTTTCATTTTTGATTCATTACTGATATGGTAAGCCATTCCCAGGTATATCCATGAAAATGGAATGATGTAAAACACACTGGTACCAGTTTTCTGTGTAATAAAATATGTAGGTTAAAATTTGGCATTTTCTTTAAAAATGGCTGGCCGGATGGGGGCAGCACTGGGCAAATAAGTAGCAGTGAAAGTGTTAATTTAGGTATTTTTCAGCAGGATATGGCACAGTACTTGCAACCAACATTGCACTGATGTTGATATTCCACCAATCCTCAGTGAGGGAGGTGCTGCCATAGGGTTGAAATCTCTGGGACCAGGCATCTCTTATTTATTTGATGTGTCCTGTCCAAAGATAAAAGCACATTTGCGAGATAAAATGTAGTTTGTCATCCTGAAGATAGATACACTTTGATCGCAGTCCGAAGGGGTCATATTATACATAAGTATACCTTTTCAGAAATTTTTACTCTGCTTATAAAACCTGTTATTTGAAAGAGCAAGATTGCAAATAGACTCAGTTTTGTTCACGTGATAAACTTTGTTTGTATTTTGATTTTCTTGTTTTTTATAAATTTTTCTCTCTTCATTCTTAACGAAAGTCGTATCAAACAGAAAAGTATTATAGATTTGTGGAGCAAAGGTGGAAATAAACAGTAAGAAAGTCAAACATCAAATGACAAAAAGATGGTTTCTGAGTCAGTGCATTCACGTATCAATCTGGTTAATAAATTAATACTTTGAAAATAAATATTTAACCTTTCCCAACCAACAAGTCGCATTCCTGTCGACAATTAAAAAAAAATGCTTTGTGATCACTTTAAAGAGTATATAAGCAACGTTTCTAGACCAGACAAGCCTTACTCATTCACCAATCTTTCTCACCAAGTTACGTGATACTTACACTTTCCTCCTCACTTTCTCCCTTGCCTTTTTTTCCTACACATACATGCAAAGAAATCCAACTTCTTTTCATCTTAACAAACAACAAGGAACTTTAATCCAAGGACTTTAACACTCAGTCTGAGAAAAATTTAGTTTTAAAATCATGAAAATAATAATATTTTCATATTTAAAAACCTTTCTCGCCTTCTTTGTTGTGGGTAAATCCACAACAGATTAATTAACACTTTTAAATGTATTACCAAGTAGGTCTAGATCTTTCCCCTCAAAATAAGTTGAAATGAAAATTAGAAGAAATATGCAATGGCTTAACATCCTATTAATTTCTATTCTTTGATATCAAGTTAACTATTTTAGTGAAATATATGTACAATATTGAGATTTTAATGGATAATATGGTACAACTTTTCAAAAGGAATTTATAAAGAGATGGCTGTATTATACTCAGGGATGTAGTTTATCCCTTGTTTTTAGCTTCAGAAACACTAATGAGTTGTACTATACTCAAGTCATATTATATACAAGGAAATATGGTATGAATTTGCATAAGGTTAAATTTTGTCTATGTGTCCCTGACTTTACATTAAAAGAACAAAACAGCCCATACTGTTTTACACATTGTTTAATGAATACTTACCAACATCTATATAATAAATGCACTGTGTCACACTTTTTCAACTTAAAGGAACACAACTCTCTAACTTTCAATAGCTCATGTTCAAATGAAACAAATACTATGCTCAAATTAGTGTTTCAAAATAAAATTGTCTGTGTTTTCAACTTTATTCCTAGAGGTCATAGCCCAACATTTCCATTTTGGAATCTTTTACTTTTTTTCTTTACAGAATTGTGTTTATTGAAGGATACTTCGGCTTATTTAATTAGTTCTAAATTAAAACAAATTACATGTATAAAATTTTAAAAATCCATTAACATTTTCTATGCAAAATAATATGTGGTAAATATAAAAATACTGATACAGCAGTCACTTCTTGTTTACATGGTGATTGACGAAATGTACTTTAACTGCAAAAGTGTATTAATAATTGTAAGTTTTGAAATAAAGGCAGATATCAGATAATTCTTACATTTAAAAAGGGCTGTGTAACTTTCCAGATTATAGTGTGACCTATTTGAAAGTCAACAATATATCATCAATTATTAAGCTATAAAGTAGGGGTGTGACCTATCCAGTGGGGCTACCTATCCGTGAGTATATACAGTAGTATATTTTTTTTTTATTTTACATTGAAATTTTTTTTTTTTTCATAATCCATATTCATTCAACTTTTTTATATTTTTTTTTTAATTTTTTTTTTTTTACCAAAATTATTCCGGGTGATTAAATATTATGGAAATTAATATTGTCATACAGTAAAAGAAAAAAGAAACAAAGAATGAAATCAAAAAGAGAAAAATCCAACATACCTTTAGAGTGTATTGTTGAAACTGCAGAAATATTTTCTACTTTCGGTAACTCTTTGGTTGGGATCTTAGCAACATCTCGAGGGCAAATATATTCCAACATTTTTGAAGACATCTGGTACCACATAGCAATATTTTGGCAATAGAGGCAATTAAGAGACTCCTGCTGATCATTACATGTATGGGTACCATCCCAAGGTCCATTAAGCATTGTGGCTAATAATTGCATTAACTGCTGACTCGTATCATTGTAAATACCCAAATTACGTGGGGCTTCTTGGAGTTCCAACTAAAATATTAAAATAATAGATTTTATATGAACTGTCATTTAAGAATTTACATACACTACAGTTCAAACGTTTGAAGCCACTCCCAAAATTAACATGCAATGAACTTGACAGAAGAGTGAAAAAAAAAATGTAAAGGAGCTCTTAGAGTCATTGAAAAAAAGAATGGAATCAATTGTTAAACTTATGCTTTGAGAAAGTTTTGCAACGAATGCCAAAAATTTGTTCTGCAGTAATCAGGGCTAAAGAAGGATATTTTATGAAAGCAAAATTTTATCATGAAATGCTTTTTTTTTATTTTTGTCATAATAACATTTCTAATAAAGAAATCATGTCTCACTCTTTTTTAAACATGTATAATAATTTTCTCTTATTTAAAGTAAAAAACTACTTTTGGGGCCAATTTAAAAAAAACTGCCAGGGTGGCCTCAAACTTCTAAACTGTAATTGACTGAGTAATAACAAAAACTGGGTTTTGCAAATAGCATTCTATAAAGATTGCCATAGTTTTGAAAAAAATAAAAAGTTGTCCTGGATATTTCTGGAAGACAATGTTTTTAAAACAAGCAGTCTGTAATTATAGCTTTTTTAAAATCATTTCACACCAAGTAAGGCAATAAAGCTACTAAGATGCAATGGGTTACTGAGAGTTAAAGGGTATGAGAAAAAACAAAGAAAAGAAGACAATAAAAGAACAGGACTGAAGGAGACAGAAGATAACAACCGAAGTTACATTTAATTTCTTGAAGACCAAAGTTGACTGGAAAGTAAGAAGCCGGAAGAGATTTCCATAAGCAAGAAGTACAAAAGAAGAAACTATTAAAATACCGTATATATTTGCGGATACTGTCTATATTTCTGAGATGAGGTATTATGTACATTATTTGGACTATTGTCCTCATCTTTGTCGCCATATTTATCACAACGTTTCGGCCGTTGTACGCTCCAGCCTTCTTTAGGTGGTTGGAATTTCGAACTGAATCCTTTATTACGCTCACTGGGGTAGACTGTTCTAGTTCCACGTACCATGTTTGATGGATGTCAATTATCAGTTATCTCCTGCTAATTTTCCCTCTGAAAGTTCTCCACTGCCTTAACCGGGTATTGAACTCACACTCTTTGGGTCCTGTCACTGGATCTAACCAACGCCTTTATCCACTGTGCCTCAAGGACACATGTCACAGTAGATAAAGGCGTAAAAAATAATTAATATTAAAAGAAAAATTAAAAGTGAAGTAATAAAATTACTTTAAAATATAGATATGAATGATAATTAGTAATAAAAAAAGAAAAAGTCAGATTATAAAACATAGATAAATAAATATGAAATATGATTCTTTTTCCTTTTAAGTCAATGACCAGGGTTTCTTAGGAATCTTGTCTCCAGCCCATCTTTGAGTCAATTTAATGACCAGAATTTTTCAGGAATCCTGTCTCCAGTCTGCTTTTGAGTTAGCAAACATAAAATTTTGTTAATGATTTTAGATAATTATAAAAGTAGAGTCCTTTGAAAAACTGACTATCCAAAAATTGAATGGGTGGTCTCCTTTTCTGGAACACAAGCAGATGGATAGGGGTAGTGGGACCCCAGCCAGTATTCATATAATGAGTAGTCAACCAGAGAGCCAGCAGTCAGTGAAACTGTCAGACATTGAGTGTAAGGGTCCTTATTCCATGGTCAGAAGTTAGTGAGATACCCGGATTTCACGTTCTTGAAGCCAAAGGGAGACATTGCTAATTAAGTGATAAATCATATTGTTTTGCTACATTCCAGCCAGTGTCTTGAGAAGAATTAGGTGTTATTCTTTGTGGAATTTGATCAGAGTTCTAATATTGAGACAAATCTGTGAACATAGTGAGCTGGTTGTATACACATACAGCTGACCTTGGATGTCATCAAAGCTTGTGCAGTGACGTGCAGAAATGAACTTGGTTGATTGGCTTTTTTACAGGCATATCAACCACTATGGCATTAATGACATTAGAAACAAAGAAAACTGAACTGTTATGTAATGTCAATTCTTCTATATGGCAATGAATGTTGGACAATTTCCCCACAGATGATTAGGTAACTTGCAGTAACAGAGATAAAGTTCTACAGAGGGATGCTGAGAATACCATAGGTAGAAAATGTGAGCAGTGAAGAGGTTTTAAGGAAAATTGGAACAAAAACAACACTTACACTTAGGATGAGAAAGAGACAGTTTTAATAATGAGGAAAGAAAGCTTGGAGAATTTGATACTCACAAGGCATATCAAAGGCAAAAGAGACAGAGGGAAACAGTGAGCAACATACCTAATGAGCTTGTGTAAATGGATGACAGAATATGAACTGGCAAACATTACTTAGTGCTACAAAGGATAGGAACTCATGGAGAGCCATGATCACCAAAATCTTTATCATGGTTAAAGAGAAAAGTTACCTGTTTTAAAAGGATATCCAACATCATAAGGAAACAAGGCAGATGCAACTCAGTCTCTCTGTCAAAAAGGTCGACAGTTTCATGCATTGTTTTGGAGCGCTCAGGGCTGAGGTGGGGCAGGTAATCTTCAACTGGAGATGAAGGTGAGAGCAAAGACTGAGAGACACCATCTCTCCCTGAAGATGCTTTCGCAGGGTCTGAGCGGTGAAGATATTCTACCCCATTTTTGAACATTTTCAGAAGTAAGTGTATTGGAATTATGATATCCAAGGATGACAACACCTGTAAAATAAAACAAAATATATTTCATTTTAGAAAATATACTACATATGTCCCATAATTGCTACATTTGTTTATATATGGCATTGACTAAGTGTGACAACCATTAAAGGATAAAGAATTTTTTTTTATTATTGCTGTTCCATAATAAATAATAAATCTCTATCATTAACAATCTTCAAAAATGTTAGTGTAATGGAAATCACCATCTGTCCATCTTCCTGAATCCTGTTTATTTATTGTCCTTTCTCTTCACAATAGTCTATTCAATCTCTTTCACTCCCAGTAATGCCTTCCATCTCAATGGCATTATCACCTTGCTTGGGGATGAAATGATTCAAAAAAAAAAAAAATTAATGAACTTGCAAGGGTTATAAAACAATGTCAACAAGGAGGAAAGCTCATCGGAACAATTGCCATGAAAATATTTGTAGAAAAGACAGAGGGAAGCCACATCACAGCAGTGAGGAAGTGACTGAAGCTGAGATGCCAGAACAGGATTGATTATCCCTACGAACCCTTATTTGGATTTTGTTCAAGTATATGACAAGAGTAACTGCAAGTAAGAATATAGTTGACAGACGACGTTTTATTTGTATTATTTACACTTAAACTATTGTCCTCATCTTTTTTGTTATTATTACAATGTTTCAACCATTGTGCTTTCTGGCCTACATCAGGTTTTTGTCAATCCAAGCAAACTTCTGAGGACTTTCATAACTAACCCTTTAAATAATCTGTGGTGGGGTAGATTGTTCTCATTTCACAGTCAATGTCTAGGGATATCTCATCTTGTTTTCTTTTTAGTACTGTTCAGTTATTGCTTGCCCTGTTTCCATGAGGCAATAATAATTATATTATAATGTAATTTAATCTATGGGGGTAGATTGTTCTCATTCCACTATGTTTGGGGATATCTTGTCTAGCTTTTATTTACTACTGCTCAAAGGACTATATCCTCAGAAATTAAAGTTTTGGCTTGTGAATTTAGTGACATAATTGTGATTTCAATCCTTGGGCCTTGGTAGACTTCAACAGTGGAAACAGGGCAAGCAATAAATGAGTAGTACTAAATAACAACTAGATACAAAGAGCAAAACTAGACAGTTGAAACTAACCTGAAGCCATTGTAAGGATTGTTCTTGAACATAGGCACTGCCATCGTGAAAGCGCTCAGACACAAAATGATACATCCGCTCCAAGGTAAATGGTAAAGGACACATGTCTATGTCAAAGGCTTTGCTTAAATAAAAAAAAGAAAACTGTAGATTAAGAAGAATTTAAAAAAGATCGAATATACAATATTTATTTGATACAAAATCAACACAAAAGAATGTGATTCCTAATGAAGGACTACAATCATGACTACAACAAAAAACACTGAACTCACAGAAAAGAATGGGTCAACATGGGAGCACACAAAGGAATGAGACACCTGACACAGGTCTTGCATAAAAGAATGAAGCATTTGACATACTTCTCGCACAAAAGAGACACTAAGTCTGACACTAAGAAATGGGTCACATGACACAGAACTTGAACAAAGAAATGGGTCACATGACACAGAACTTGAACAAAGAAATGGGTCACATGACACAGAACGTGAACAAAGAAATGGGTCACTCGAAACATGACCCGCACAAAGGAGTGGGTCACTTGACACAGGGTTCATATATAAGAATACTAAAAAACACCCAAATTTCTAAGAAACTCGGATTTTTTTCATTCATTTGATTTTAATTTTAAAATTTTAATTCAGTTTTAATTAACTTTAAAACATAATAATACCCACATTTTCAAGCATTTTAAAATTAATTAAATAAAATAAAAAAACACCCAAATGTTCAAGTACTTTAAGCACAAGTTCTGAAACATTTAAGTTGAATTAAGGTAAAATTACACAAAATGCCAGCATCTCACCTGAGAAGAACTTTTAATTCATTCAGTTCATCAAGTGGGACTTCTGTTCGGATGGCCTCTAACCAATATGGCATGACATAGTCCCAAATCTAGAAGAAAAATTTTAAAAGGTTTTTACATCTGTTATGTAAAAATAATGATTAAGTATAGTCTTGCCATATGGAAATATCATTGAAAGAAAAAATATTATTTAAATATTGTGCAAAGAAAGAGATTATTTAAATCATATTTAAGAAAAGTGATTATTTAAACCATATTAAAAGAAAGAGATTATTTAAACCATATTAAAAGAAAGAGATTATTTAAGTCATATGAAAAAAATGATCATTTAAGTCATATGAAAAACGATCATTTAAGTCATATGAAAAACGATCATTTAAGTCATATGAAAAAACGATCATTTAAGTCATATGAAAAAACGATCATTTAAGTCATGTGAAAAAACGATCATTTAAGTCATGTGAAAAAACGATCATTTAAGTCATGTGAAAAAACAATCATTTAAGTCATATAAAAAAATGATTATTTAAGTCATAAAAAATGATTAAGCCATATAAAAAAATGATTATTTAAGCCATATTAAAAGAAAGATTATTGAAAGCATGTTAAGAGATTATTTAAACCCTATTAAAAAGTGATTATTAAAACCATATTAAAAGAAAGATTATTGAAAGCATATTAAGAGATTATTTAAACCCTATTAAAAAGTGATTATTTAAGCCATATTAAAAGAAAGATTATTTAAACAATATTAAAAGAAAGATTATTTAAACAATATTAAAAGAAAGATTATTTAAACAATATTAAAAGAAAGATTATTTAAACAATATTAAAAGAGATAACTTAAGCCATATTAAAAAAAGCAATTATTTAAATCATATTAAAAAAGTGAATATTTAAATATTTTCATCAGTTTTAGATCTGAAATGATTTCTCATTTCATATTTTCATAAGCAAAATATTGTTTTAATGAGTAAAAGCAAGCACTTGTTTCGGGAGAAACATTAAATTCCTGACCATTGACAATCCTATTTCTCCTTATTTTTGATGCACAACTAAAAATTGGGTACTTTAAATTTGCGAAAACAAAATTTGGTTCCAAAATTGTAAAATTTGATGTTATCAAATTTCTTTCTTAATACAAGAATTATTTAGTTTGATAAAAGAGTAAATGGATGTAAACTATTTCCTAACAAGACAGGTGATAATAACAGCAGTATTAACTTTATTTAAAGGAAGACAATAGACATGATTTCACATCACACAGGTACCTTCATTATTATTTCTAATCATATATTGTCTCCTTCCTGCCATAGATTTATGGCCTGAGTAAAAGTTACAGTAAAAAAGCAACTAAAAATTAAAATGTTAACAGGAACTACAAGCAAATTTATACTTAAAATCAGAAATCAGAGACAGTTAAAATTTCTGAGATACATAATGAGGAAAAAGTGTTTGGAGAATCTAACACTCACAGAACATACTTAAGGCAAAAGAAGCAGGATAAGCCAGTGAGTAAGCTACTTAATGCATGGAAGGACAAGGACAAAGAAAGACAGTAAAGCATCAAAAGTTATTAAGAGCAACAAAAGTAAGGAGGCTGTGGAGGACCATAATCATCAATATTGTGAAGGGACATAGCACTTAAAAGAAAAAAGTATATGGATAGCAAAACAAGGACAAAATGTCAAAAGTTATTTATACTGACAAACCTGAGAAGGTTGTGGAGAGCCATGATCACTCATGTCCTGAACGGACATAGTAAATAAAAGAAGAAAAAGCTTAGTGACAGCAAAGCAAGGACAAAAAGAGATGGTAAGATGTCAAAAATGATTTATAGCAACAAAAGTCAGGAGGTTGTGGAGAGCCATGATCACTCATGTCCCAAAGGGACATAGCACCAAAAGAAGAAGCATATGGATAACAAAACAAGGACAAAGAGGGATGGTAAAGTGTCAAAAGTTATTTAGAGCAACAAAAGAGGAAATTGTGGAGAACCATAGGCACACTTGAAAGGTCATGAGACATAAAAGTAATTCAGGAGGCGGTCAGAGAATAATTTAAGTAATTAATATTATTAGATTTTCTTGTAAAAGGTTTTTAGGTATATAAATATACACAATACATGTGAAACATGACAGGATTATTTACATCCATTATCTATGTACTTTTTCTAGGATCAGTGAAGTAGCTGTGGTTGATTTTGTTTAGAGGCATATCAACCTCTATGGGTTATTTAATGCTGAAATCTGAATATTTTCAACCCAAGTTTATGGTTTCCACCAAATATATTTTGAATACAACTGTATGCCTTCAACTAAATACATTTTGAATGCACTTGTATGTCTTCAATTACAGATAAAATGTATTATTGGTCATATTTTTTATATATAAATGCATTGCTGGTATTTTTACTATAAAAATATATTTTTATATCTTCATAGTGTTTTGATATGTTTGGAGGAGGGCACTATTTGCCCATAGCTGAGACCCTAACAGGTGCTACCACCCAGGCTCGGGGTGGACTTGGAAACAGCAGCAATTAAGAGGTGGTTCTATGCTCCTTAAAAACCTCCAATCTCCTGATCAGTGGCCTTGCTGCTGGATGTAGTTTACCATAATGCACAGGACTGGAGTAGCTGTGCAATATGACTAGAATAAAAATATCAGTTCTTGGCCCTTTTCCTAAAATGAGTGTAATAGTTTTGGACTCTGCCTAAAATCAAAATGTCACCACCCACAAGCCATCTTCCTTGGATCAGTGAAGTAACTGTGCACTCCTAAGATCAGTGGAGTAGCTGTGCACCATGCCTAAAATCAAAATGTCACTCTTTGAAACATTTCTTCTGATTAGTGTAATAGCTGTGTACTTGGCCTACAATCAAAATGTTCATTTTAACAGAAGTACTCTGGTATAGTGGATACATCATTAGCCTGGTTACCATCAGGTCAGATGTTTAAATTAGAGCAAGATTCATTTTTTATTTTATATATCTGTTTGCTTCATTATAGCAAAAAAGCTACAGACAAAAAATTTAGAAATATATGTGAAATATAGAGATACTGATAAAAAAAATAAACTTTCTTCTTAACACTTTCACTGGTGATTTGTTTTAGCATTGTCACCTGGCTGTGCTGCCTCATTTTGGGAAAATTAAGAAACTGCCATTTACTGAATATAAATGATGTTGACAGCGATTTCTCATGTGTGCCACCATTTTGGTTTTGATTGGATACTCTACAGTACGGACTGGAGTAAACAGCACTCCTAACACACAATAAAAATACGTCACAAAACAGGTTTTATTGTATACTACTATACGTCTACACTAGTTTGGAAATAGTGCTAGTTAGTTTATAACACAAATGCAAAAGACCAACATTTCAGTGTCATGAAAATATATATACATATATATATACACACACATATATACACACACACACATATACATATATTCACACGCACACACATATATATATATATATATATATATACACACATACACACGCACACATATAGATATATACATACACACATATACATGCACACATATAGATATATACATACACACATATAGATATATACATACACATATACATGCACACATAGATATATACATACACACATATAGATATACATATACACACACACACGTACACATACATATACACACACATATATATGTACAAACACACACATGTACATGTACAAACACACACATGTACATGTACACACACACACATGTACATGTACACACACACACACATATTCACACACATGCACACACACATATGTACACACACACACATACACATATATGTACACATACACATATATGTACACACATACACATATATGTACACACACACACACATACATGCACACACACACATATATGTACACACACACACACACATATATGTACACACACACACATACACATATATGTACACACACACACATACACATATATGTACATATATATATATATATGTGTGTGTGGGGGGGGGGAATATAAAAAAAGTGGAAAAACTTTTTGTGTGATGCATTTTATCCTTAAGAACTTCATCAGACTAAATTTGTTATGTTGTTGCAACTCCACCTGCACACAAATGGGTCATGCAGGGAATTTAAAATTTTTAAAATATGTAACAAATATAAAAAAAAACCAAAAGTGCATTTATAGTTTATAACAAATTTAGTTTGATGAAGCCCTAAAGGACAAAATACATTAAACAGAAACTTTTTCCAATTTGATACTCACAGGACAGATTGACAGTAAGAGATTCCAAACGAAAGCAATGCACAACCTACCTGGCGAGTTTGAGCAAATGGATGGCAGAACAGGGTTTAGGAGAGATAATGAAAAGACAAAATTTATTAAGTGCTATATGGACAGGAAATTGTGGAGAGCCATGAACACCAATGTCCTAAGGGGACACAGCATATAGAAGAGGAAATTAGCAACACTATACAAGAAAGAAAGCAATTTATTGGATAGAATTCTATCACAAAATTTAAAATGGAAATTACCTCAAATGTGATAATATCGTAAGGTACAAGACAAAAGAAGCAATTTAGTCCTTCCTTAATTTGTGTGGTACGTGTTGATAAGGTATCCCTGAAACAGAAGATAGACAAATAATAAAATTATTTTAATAGTACATCAAATTACAAAAGTTTCAAAAAAGATCTTATTAATAGTAATTTTAAATCTACCATAATCATTTACATATAGCTAGGGAGTATAAAAAAAAAGGTTATTTTCATGTATAAAATATACCTGATTTTAGGGCAAAGAAAATAATCAAAACTTGTGAAAAATGAAGAGAAAAAATGAAAATAAAATGGAATATTTTATCATGGTTGGCAGATCTTCTATTATCACATAAAGATAGAAAATTTGAAACAGTGTGTATTTGAATGGGTGTTGAAAAATCCTCAGACCAACCAAAGATCTTTTGAGTCATTTAATCAGTTTTTTGGAAGTGGGTTGGGCTGAGAATTTTTCACTACTTACTGGTGTGCGTCTTTTATATATATATATATATATATATATATATATATATATCGGTTGTCTAGTCGCACTGAGGAACTGTGATACAGCGAAACAGTACTGTCTGCAAATGACATAATTTAGCTCTTGAAAATATATTTTCAATTGAGCACTGTTGAATGACAAGCTAATTCTAAAAACAAAGGTCAACTGCATAAATGCGAAGCTCTTCAGTAAAATGAATGGAGCACTTTGGCTGCTTGGTGTGTTTACATTTGTAAAAACAATACACTAGATTTGGCTGACTCATTCTGTCGAGTGAAGATAGCTCAGTGGTAGAAGCTCTGACTGACACCAAATCGGTTGAGTTTTAATCCGGGCTTGAGGCATTCGGTTGTCTAGTTGCACTGAGGAGCTGTGATACAGCAAAACAGTCCTGTCTGCGAATGACATAATATATATATATATATATATATATATATATATATATATATATATGTGTGTGTGTGTGTGTGTGTATATATATATATATATATATATATATATATATATATATACACACACACACACACAGTGTGCGATGGGTAAATTGTCACCATTTTATATTTTAATTTTAGCATGTATGTTATTTTTTTTTTTATTAATACACAATATAGTCAGGTCAGTTGGGCACCGTCTGCGAGAAATAGAGCACCATAAAGCAATTCACTCTGTCAGAAATTTGGAAACAACATACTGTACTGCTTGACATTTGCACCGGAAGCTCAAATACAAACATTTCAAAGTGTTTGTGTGTCAATATGAGGATAATGCAGAGGATTCAAAAAGAGTTGGATGAGTCTAATGGTGATTACAAAAGTGTTTGGAGTAATCACTAGTGATGGCAATATGATGCCTCCATTTATCTTCACACTGGCCCACAGACTCAACATGGAGACCTACATCAAGTGCCTTGAAGAGGTAGTGCTGCCCTAGGTCAAGCAAGTAGCTGCTAGAAGACCCTCTGTCTGGCAATAGGACTCTGCACCATTCCCCACAAGCAGGAGAATCCAGTTATAGCTGTAGCTCTCAGACAATTTCTGCAACTAAACCACCACTTACATCTAGCCGCCTAACTCCCCAGACTGCAACCCCTTGATTATTATGTGTGGGGCACAAAATTTAATACCATGTCCACAGCTGACTTCTACAAATAATGTTTTGTCAAGTGGAAAATATAAAAGCTTATTGATTAATGTGAAAATGATGGTATCATTATTTGGCAGTACATATGCTTGTGAACAACTTTTTGCAAAAATAAAATATATTAAAAGTTGTTTAAGAACAAGCTTGTGATGACCACTTGTATGATATCTTGCTTCTGTCATCGACAAATATTTCACCTGATGTGGATATGTTATCGAACAATGAATACAAACGAGTTTCTCATTAAATAATTTGCCACTTCTAACTGTATTTTCTTTGTAGTAAGGAATTTGCATTTTTGTTGATTGTGTTAGTTGTTAGTTCCTGCAGTAAAATAAGGAAACTTGTTTAAATAATATAACATTAACTTTGTTGTTTTTTCTTTAAACCGCCAGATCAAGGCAAACTTCTGGACAGAGCAGTGTGAGGTCAAAACAATTTATTATAGCACATTTGATATCATGGACCTCTTCAGAGAGGCTGCATAGATTTTCTGGCTCGCTATCCCCAAAGGTTTGCTGACCCCAGCCATAATCCTTTATGTATAGATTTCTAGGATGTATAATGCAGAGGGAAGAAGAGCTTATTTTCATGCATAAGGCTCGCCTGATTTTAGAGCAAAGAAAATAATCAACATTTTTGAAAAAGAGAACAAAATGAAAAAAGCAAAAAACAAAAAAATAGGCCATTTTTTTTTTTACATTTGTGATTTGTAAGCATTTTCAAAAAGGTGATAATGATTGCAAAACTTGCTAAAGGTGTTTACTGTTAAACACTAAACAATCATTTTACCTGTGAATGATTTCCAAATTCATGTAGGTGTCTAGACTCAGCAAAATACGGAAAAAGTACGGAACCATACAGGACTTAGAGAAACATTATGATATGTCCTGGAAAGGGATATATTTGTTCAAAGTAGCAAAGTGGTTTTGGACTACTGTAACCGAGCAGGGCAATCTAGCAGGTAACCGTATGGACTGGTCCTCGTCATAGTGGTAGGCAATAGGCGTCCATCAGTGTACCTCCATGACAGTCTGTATTTATGGCTGACACCAGCCAATCATATTACTGTGAGGGGGAACCCAGGTGTATGCATATTCATTACATCACATTAGGAAAGATTTATCTCCCTTTGCTGCAATCTGCCATTAGTTAGATGTTGTCTAATAAATAAATCAAATTTGATCTGATTTTGTCCATTTTTGGGGGCTGGAAAAAATGGAATTATGTTTTAAACTAAAGTATAAGATGCAGCAGGCTTTTTGACATGATTTTGGATGAAAAACCAGCATCATTTATGAATATTTATGTTGATTATACAATGGTATACTGCCAAAATTCTTGATGACCAGAGCCTGGCAGCTGATCTCACCTCTGACCTAGTTCTAACAGCTCAGTGGGGGAGATCACTGGCTGGTTACATAGTTGCAATACGCCATTAGATAGATATTGTCTCTTCAGTAAACTAATAAATCCAATTTGAGCCAATTTTGCCTGTTTTGAGTCCTTTAAAAAATGGGATTGAGTTCTAAACTGAAGAATTAGACACAGCAGAATTTTGAACATGATGTTGGATGAAAAAAAAACCTGTGTCTTATGCACACAGGATTATGTGGGGTATATATATATATATATATATATATATATATATATATATATATATATATATATATATATATATATATATATATATATATATATATATATACACACACACTTTTACATATACAAGGGTTTATGGCCATATGATGTAGAAACATTGGTGCTCATACAATCACTAAAGTTAAGCAACATTGAGTCTGGTCAGTACTGCTTGGGAATGCCAAGTGATGTAAACTTGGATGAACAGGTGGTATAATAGATAACAGCTAGCTGAGTTCCAATTCTAGTCAGGTTTGTTATATACACTTATAGTTAGTTATATAGCTGTTATGGAGTGGTTTCACAGTGGAGGCTTGTATTTGCACTAAGTTGATCCTAAAATAGGTTCGACGTACAAAACATTAGAAACTTGATATAATCAGTAATGACGCAGGGAAATCTAGTTGTGGTCGCTGATACTGTAGTATCAAACTAATGGTCATCCGGCATCGACTGACTGACCCACTGGGCGACTCCTTACTCTTACTACTCCTACTTATTATAGGTGGAAGAGTCCATTAACTATAGAATAGGTGTGTTCCACTATAACAATAGCAAAGGTGTTATAGTGATACAATATGGATTTGATGGACTTGCCTGAAATGATACTCCCTAGGAGTTTCACTTCACAGAACAATCTGGGCGGGGGTTACACATATTCTTACTTGACAATAGGCTGACAGTCATATCATCTTGAAACACTAGTTCTTATATGATCACCAAAGTTAAGCAACATCAGACCTGGTCAATACCGAAATGGGTAACCATTTAGGAATACCAAATGCTGTCAGTTTGGATGTGTGGGTAATGGAACGGATAACAGTTCTGGATGAGAAATCAAAGACAAGTTCCAATTCATTATAATCACTTATGAACAATTATTCTTGGGGAAAAGTATGAATCCACCTCTTCTCCCCCAAGCTATTGGTTAATTAGTAGAACTTGTATCAGTAAATCATTATTATCTCCAAAAAATTCTTACCATGTAAAAATAGATTTTAGCTTTAAATAACCTGCAAAGGGTTCATAATCTGATTAAGAGAAATTAATCAACTTAATCTTACATTTATAAGATGCTCTATTTTAAATACTTTTAAAAGAGCTTTTTAATACACATGAAAGATAACAATGCTTGTTTTATTTAACCATAAACATTAATATATTTTAGTGAATGTCAAAAGGAGTGGCTGTTTTATTATTAACACTCCTGGGATCCATTCTTTGGATGAAAAAAACCTGTGTCTTATATACACAGGATTGTGATATATGTAATTTTGTTACTTTAAACGTTATTTTTAATGGATACCCATATTGGGTAGTTTTTTTTTTTTTTAAAAGTGTTTATTTCATCTGCTGGCTTGAGCACTCGAGAAAGCTTAATAAAGAAAAGGTGCCCTCCCACAGGATTTGAACCTGCATCTCCCTTTACAAAAGAAACCACTGTCTAATCCAGTATGCTTTAGCTGCTCAATTACAAAGAGCTTCATGATCAAGCAAGGTTCTATTTGCCTTAAAATACATTCACTCGTTAAGATTTTCTCAAAAGCCATAGCTTGTTTTTGTTGTTTTAATCAATTCGCTGCAAGCAAGCTTGGGGGCTGTTTGTGAATCCAAATTCCCACTGAAAAATATAAATGAATTTGTACAACCTTCAGGATGCAGCAGATTCATTTGATGGGGGCAGCTCAACTGATCATGGGTGAATGCCATAACAAGTACAAATATGTAAAGCAATAATGCCACCAAGACACAAGGGGCTACTGGGAGTGAAAGAGAAGGAAAAGACTTCAGAAGGAACTGGAAACCCAATCCTAAAAAGGAAACAAGGGATAAACCTCTACTCTTGTTCAAAAGACCAGGAAGAGGAGTGAACCAGCCAATAGGCAAATCTATCTATTCCTGAATCTGGAAATGTTTAGCATATCTCTTAGGGCAAACCCAGTATATATTGGGATCATCGCAGATCAAATTCTCTTACAACAAAGGTCGCTTACTGACATTAAATTTGGTATTTCTTGGTGTGAATTACATGGTACACTAACTTAACTTTAAAATTAGTTTGATCTCCAATGTGTGCTGTTCTTTGCTAATATCAATTGGTTCCATGTTATAAATGAGATAGCTGATAAATTTTCAGTTTTTTTTACAAAGACCTAGAAGGCTCTGTGTCATAAACAATTAGGATCATAGGAGCACTATATGTACTGCAGCCATAACAGAAGTGGTGTGGCTACAGCAAGACAGCCTGGTGGAATTCATCCCTCTTCATGTTGATTTTGAATCCAGTTATCCTTCCACCAGAGTGATTGCCATCTCAAGGCAAATAGAGCTCAGCCTACCCTGCTATTTAAGAGATGTATTGATACCTTTCCCAAGAGTATTTGTGTGAAAGGGAATATAATAAACTGTTATACTACCCATGCATCAACAGCGATGAGATCTATTTATAAATAAAAAGCAAGAAATATTTTGATTGGTCACAAATGTAAAACTTTCAAACTGAATTCCAGTTTTATAAGCTTTAATTTGAAGTCAACAAAGGTGAGAATACTGTTTCAAGACACGTTTTAAAGCCCTGCTTTGTATACCTCATCCTTTCAGTATTTTGATCCTGAAAATTGCATTTCTTGTTCCAGTGTCTTGAATTGTAGTTTAAATAAGTCTGTATTGCTGCAACGTCACTTGTACAAATCACAATATCGCTGGTTCAATTCACCATCCTCGCTTTCTTCTCATGTCACTACATATAGCCGACATTTCTATCCCCTTTTTCACTGCTCCAGCACTCTTTTATCTGGCCAACATCGCGGTTCACCAGCCAATCAGCGTTCTTTGCTGTTATTCTCGGTTACACAGGCAAATTGCCTCGTCCAGTTCGACCAATCAGCACACAACTTGCTATTGGTGGAATCATGCCAAACTGTACAAAAAATCCTCATCACTGCACATACTGCTAGAATGGCTGGATGGGAGAGTAATGCCATTTTCATGAAGCAAATTTGCTGATGTCACGTGCCGCATGTTAAGGTAAGACCCTTATTTTTCTATACACCAGATGCAAGCCATTCTGGCTCACTTGCTTCTACGGGGCTGTTCACCATAGTTCTTGTTCTACCTCCAGTCTAATTCTTCTGGAGTTTGCATTTGTTCACACTTGGTTTCTTTGACATTTCTATGAAGATTGATCTTTTGAAGTCCTTCGGTATTTCACCACTGTTGTATATTCTGTTTATCACTTTAGTAACATTTTCAGCCTTAAAATCATCTAAGACTGTTAGCATCTCTATTAAAAGCTTGTCTGGTCCTGCTGCTTTGTTCCTCTTTATCTTGAGCAGTTCTGACCCAACCTCAGATTTTAGTATTACAAATTCTGCCATGTTTTAAATGTCCAAAATTTTAAAAACGTCTTACCAGTAACCTCCAACACGGGCATATTCAACAGGATGAGGCAGCAAGCAGGAAATAATCACTTCAAAATGTGTTTTTGCAACCTTCTGCAACCACTTAGAAATATACTGCAATAAAAAAATTGACATTATGTTATAAAGGCTAATCAATTTTATATTTATAAACCTTTAGACCATGCAAAAATATACAAGTCACACTGACTGGTTATAATTTATTTATTTTCAAATGCATGCTGCAGTTAAATCATTGAAAAGTTATTTTCATCAGACCACTGATGAGCTATTTGTAAAACTACTGACAAAGAATTTGTATAATGAAATCAGTGACAAGATATTTTTTAAGAGTAAAACCAATGAAAAAATATTTGTACTGTAAAACCATTGTAAGGATAGTATATTAAAATAGACATGTTTTTTGCATAGATAAAGTCTAAGTATTGTATTTAATCCAATTTGCAATGCATTTACATTATACATATAATAGCCCTATTCTATCAGTAATGCTTGCATTAATTCCTGACCACTGGCAATCCCTTTCTTCCTCATTTGCAATGCATTCCTATAGTAAAGTCATTAGCAATGCATTTCCATTATATATATAATAGCCCTATTCTATCAGTAATGCTTGCATTCATTCTTGACCACTGACAATCCCTTTCTTCCTCATTTGCAATGCATTCCTATAGTAAAATCATTAGCAATACATATAATGGCCCTACTAACCTGTTAGCAGGTCATTTTGCGGCAAAATGATAAAAACAGCAAAGATGAGGACAATAGTCCAAATATAAATAGTGCAAATAATATATAATGGCCTTATTCTATCTGTAATGCTTGCAGTAATTCCAAACCAATTATTTCAAATCATGTGACCATTTCCAACAGTGTGGTTTAAAATACAAATGCCAAAGGACTGGCCACTAAAAAAGCTGGGAAAAAGATTGTGATTACAAAATGCTTGCTACTTGTTTTATATATTCATTTCTTAACCAAATCCACATCAACACTTAGTAAAGTGCCCTAAGTTAGTCAATTGATCATCTTTTAATCGTGCCATGTGATTGAATATGCAAGACATAAAGTTGAATATATTATCAAAGCATATTAGTATTCAAAGTTTTAATTTTTCATAACTAAATACAAGGAGGGATTGGAATAGTAGGGGATGTTGGAAAACAAATGCAAAAAACCTTGAAAGTGGAAATAGCTAATGATTTTCACCAACAAACATAAACAGTGGGAGAATATTTCAAAATATATGTTATGGAATTATCCGGGTTAGATCCCCCTTGAGAATATTAATAAGTACATGTGTGTGTGTGTGGGGGGGGGTTAATAAGAATGTCCTGGATGGAATTATTTAAAAGCTTAATTGTGAATGGGCAAGGAGAATGCCTATTCAGGACTTGGGAGTTCAAGAATAACAGGGGTCAAGCTTAGGACCCAAGTAAAAAGCCAAAATTTTAAGTCATTTTTCAAGATAGACTCACTCTCCCCACCTAGAAGACTGATGCAACACAGTCTTTCTAGTGCTCTCAATCCACATTTTTTTGGTGTGTGTGACAAAATCTTGTTGAATATCTAGATCAGAGCTTCTTAATCTGAGATCCCTGGTTGGATTTCAGAAGGTCCATGAGGATCAGATAAAAATTTATATTTGCTAAACAGCCTTTGTTCCGATCAACAGGTTCCCATGGAACGAAATAAAAGAAAATGCACCCTGCCACTGTTTGAAAGAAAATGCACCCTGCCACTGTTTGAAAGAAAATGCACCCAGCCACTACTTACAGTGCTGACCTCTAAACATCTCTTGACTTGCTGTTGTGTCCATGTTTGCCATTTAAACATGTGTCATCATTCTCTGCAAGAACACAATCTTTTGACACTCTGTAAGAGCAAGTGATAATTCTCATTTTCTACAGTTTATCACTGCTTATCTTCTCATATACAGGTGAGGATTAATTGAGCACCATTTCTTTTAAGCATGGCTGGTTAACAAGTGATGCGTGTGCATGAGGGTGCAGTATAGAGAAATGCACCTACAAGTGTTGTGAAAAAATGCTCAGATGGTGAGTATCTGCTTGTCTATCTATGAAGGGCTAGTTCTTATAGGGGTCAATGACTCAAAAAAAGTTAAGAATCACTGATCAAGATCAACATTTCTCGACAGGTGTACCCAAGTGTATTAATGTGCCCTCAAAGGTAGCCAGGTACATCCCAAATTAACAGAATTACTTTTATATTTAAAAAAATCTTTATTTAAAGAAAGCTATAAACATGGCTTCCATATCTGTAAAGTTTTTATCATTTGATATTTTAAACTGGATGCTTAATTCTTTAATCTTAAAGAAGAAAGTGATAATCCTTTTTCTTTTGCCTTCCTCAAGGGATTTAAATCAGTCATTATTGGCTTCTCTAAAAAAAAAAAAAATATCTGATTCTTTATAAACCTATGTATCAAGAAAAATATACAGAAAAAACAAACAAAAATCCTAATATGCAATTATGCTGTTTTAATGTTAATATAATGTCAACGTCGACATAAAAGCAAGACCAATCCATATTTAAACGGAACGCTGATCTTATAAAAGATTTCAGTTATCTGTTTGGATTGGTCTTGCTTTTATGTCCATCGTCTTTTTCATGTTGAATTGAATATGGTCTATGTTAATTATGTTTTATGAATATGTCCTGAAGATGGTCTATTAGACCAAAACGTCCGACGTTGACATATATTAACATTAAAACAGCATAATTGCATATTAGGATTTTTGTTTGTTTTTCTTCATACTGTCGGATCTATATCCATATATTTGCTTACAAACCTATGTATCCTTTTAGCATTCAACCTGCTCAAACCAAGATTGTAACTATTTACATTGTTCAGACTGTTGTCCTTGTCTTTATTGCAATATTCATGACATTTCAGCTGTTATATGCCCCAGCCTTTTTCTTTTCAATAAATATCACTTGAAGAAGGCTGGAGAGTGCAACCAAAACATCATGAATATGGCAATAAAGATGAGGACAACAGTCTGAACAATGTAATTAGTGTAAATAGTGAGACTTTGAGAACCAATATTTAATAGGCAGCTTTGAGTGTGTTGATTGCTAAAGGGTTGAATGAAAACTGTACCGCTAAATGTCTTTGGGAATACTAAACCAACATTTTATATTTTCTAATTGCATGACTAATTTTTCCTTATTAAAATTTAAAGTGCAGACCAGAATTTTAGTTATTCTACATGTGCACTCTGAAGTAAAAAAAAAAAAGGTTAAGGAAACACTGATCTAGATTGTTAGTGCTTAAAACAAGACTTACCTCAGGTTTTAGTCGCTCAAGAGCACTACCAGCATTATCTGTAAGACACAAACAATAATTCATTAATATAAGCAAAGATATACATAAAACATCCATTCTATTAAGATAAAAATAATAATTGTATTATTGCTTATACAATGCTATCTGTACATATGTACAGATAGCATTGTATAAGCAATAATACATATGTACAGACAGCATGGAAACTTTGGCATGGTGTAATGATTAGAAAGCTTGTCTTGCTAGATGTATTATGATTGAATACTGAGTTCAATCCTTACTGGGAGCCCCATACTTTCCACCTTGTGCCATATTTAAGCTACACTTATAAAATCATAGGGCAGCACTTCGACATGGTGTAATGATTGTTTTGGCACTTCGACATGGTGTAATGATTGTTTTGGCACTTCGACATGGTGTAATGATTGTTTTGGCACTTCGACATGGTGTAATGATTGTTTTGGCACTTCGACATGGTGTAATGGTTACCCAGGTTGTCTTGCTAGATGAATTATGACTGAATAGTAAATTCGGTCCTCACTGGGTGCCTCATACATGCTCTACTTATAAAATCATTCTGAGCACTTCAACATGGTGTAATGGTTAGCAAGCTTGTCTGACTAGATGAATTATGACTGAGTAGTGAGTTCAATCCTCACTGGGTTCCCCATACATTCACCCTTGTGTCACATCTATGCTTAGAAAATCATTTTAGCACTTTGATGTGGTGTAATGGTTAGCAAGCTTGTCTCACTAAATCAGTTATGACTGAATAGTGAGTTCAATCCTCACTAGGTGGTCCATATTTTTGGCCTTGTGCCACCATATTTAAAGATAGCAGAAAACTGTGAAGAAAAAGATTGTCTACTGCCTAGTTATAAATATAATGGTTGGCTACTCATTTCCAAGCACACCCATCTGCAATCCTTGTTGCAGATGCCTGCTCAGACCTATTTATGCTTGTTCAACACCCACTGAGCCCACCTGTGGTTTAGGCTACAACTCTGATGTATGTATTTTTGTCATTGTAATAAATGTTTGTTTCTCTGTAAATTTCACACAACAGAGTAAAAGTCCAATGTTTTTCTGTTTGAGTCATTCAAATTACTCAGTACAAGAGATTTGATATTCTCTCTTCTCCTTTTCTCCTAATAAATCCTTTTAACTATGCTGAGCAGACCTTAGTTACAGTTTCTGAGAGAGAGAGAGAGAGAGAGAGAGTGCATAATCTAGCATGATCAAAAGTTTAAACAATACCAGTATGCTCCAACCCTCGGTCACGATGACTTGTGACTTTGTGCTAGCACAACCACTGATGGCATTTAAACAGTTCCCTTGAGTCAATTTCACATGGATTGAGTATGTTTTTCACACACTGACATGAAGTGGAAAGATTATATTGAATCAAATGCTAGGTCTGCTGCTAGGAAAGTAGGTTCACTGTGTTGTGTTAGACAATCTTTCTCGCCTCACACGTTTATAAATCTACCATTTGTCCATTCATTCAATATTGCTGTTACATCATGTCTGGTGCTTCTGCTATGTATTTCGAGATTCTTGATAAAATCCAAAGAAGAATCTCTAATGTTATTGGTCATAAAAATAATTCCATGGTAATTGTTCTGATTAGCTTTTCTTTTTTGAACTTTCTCGTCAATTGATGTGAAGTGGAAAGATTATATTGAATCAATTGCTAGGAAAGTTGGTTCACTGTGTTATGCAAGACAATTTTTCTCGCCAGGATCTTACATATTTATATGTTTACCATTCATTCATAAAATGAATATTGCTGCCACATCTGGTCTGGTGCTCCTGCTATATATTTAGAGATTCTTGATAAACTACAAAGAAGAATCTGCAATGTTATTGATCCTGACCTGGCATCTCAACTTTAATCACTTTTCCACTGCCATAATGTAACATACCAGTACCTTTTCTATAAATATTTTTTATGTTAATTGTTCTGATTAACTTTCCTCTATAGGAGCTAGACTTTATGAATTTAAGTATAATACTAGATTGGCAGTAAGGTCTCATCATTTTACAGCTGAAATGGTTAGATGTAACTGTAAGTTTCTTTTCTCACACTACTCATTTGTGGAACTCTCTTCCTGTTTCTTGATTTCCAATTAACTTTGATAGAGTCAAAAGTGTATACAGTAATAGCAATGTTAAAGGAATAAATGTCCTTTTGGCACACCATTTTTTTGCAGGCACAAAGGTATACCAACTCATCATTATTGGATTGATCATAGTCACACATCCATAATCAGTTTTCTCTTGCTACACATTAAAAACTTCCATTGCAGCGTGCAGTTACTCCTTCAATATATTGATTTCCTCAATCAATAATTTTCTGTCTGAATTTCTGGGATGAAGTGTTATCATTATCGTTATTATCAGTATTTCAGCTGTTGTGTCTTCCAGACTTCTTCAGGTGTCTGTCAAGGTAATACTCAGGAAATATTGAAGTAGTGCCTTTATTTAATTTACAGGAGTAGATTGTTTTCATTCTGTTGTCTATTATTATTATTTTTTATTCTTCTTCTTATTATTATTATCATTATTTTCAATCTGCTGTACATTATTATTATTATCCATTATTATCATCATTATTATTTCAATAATATTATTTTCAATCTGCTGTACATTATTATTATTATCCATTATTATCATCATTATTATTTTCAATAATATTATTTTCAATCTGCTGTACATTATTATTATTATCCATTATTATCATCATTATTATTTTCAATAATATTATTTTCAATCTGCTGTACATTATTATTATTATCCATTATTATCATCATTATTATTTTCAATAATATTATTTTCAATCTGCTGTACATTATTATTATTATCCATTATTATCATCATTATTAATTTCAATAATATTATTTTCAATCTGCTGTACATTATTATTATTATCCATTATTATCATCATTATTAATTTCAATAATATTATTTTCAATCTGCTGTACATTATTATTATTATCCATTATTATCATCATTATTATTTTCAATAATATTTTTTTCAATCTGCTGTACATTATTATTATTATCCATTATTATCATCATTATTAATTTCAATAATATTATTTTCAATCTGCTGTACATTATTATTATCATCCATTATTATCATCATTATTATTTTCAATCTGCTGTACATTATTATTATTATTATTATCCATTATTATCATCATTATTATTTTCAATCTGCTGTACATTATTATTATTATCCATTATTATATTATTATCAGTCATTATTATCATTATTATCCATTATTATTATTATCCATTATTATATTATTATCAGTCATTATTATCATTATTATCCATTATTATTATTATCCATTATTATATTATTATCAGTCATTATTATCATTATTATCCATTATTATTATTATTTTTGTTCTGTTGCCCATTATTATTTATTGGTTTCAACAGCAGACAAGATGGTTGATTAACTTTCATGACAAAAAAAAAAAAATCTAAGACTTATTTTCAATGCTTTTTTTATTTTGCCATTTCATAAAACACTTGCCCCTGGTACACAAAACATACCAAGCACACAACAATGTCTCATCTCACTATTTTATTTTTCCAACTCATTCCATGCTAAATTTAGGGCACCACCTTTTTGCCACAAAAAATGAAAGTGATTTTTTTTTTCATCCACAAATTTCATAAAACAGTCACCCTTCATATACAACAATAAACAGTTTTTGGCACAAAATAATGCCTTTCTCCACAATTTTATATCTACTTACATCAACCTATATGTCTATATTCCTACCATATATTATGCTAAATTTAGGGTACATCCTCTTTGACGTGAGAACTGATAAGATTTCTACATTTCTAGATTTATACAGAAAATTATTTCATTTTTGTAAAAAGAGAAAGTGTCTTATTTTATTCAGAAAGTATTGCGGATTGAATTAGGGATAAGATAATGTATACTAACCATCAGGCAAATAAGCAGTGGCATCAAACCACTGGAACAGCATACTCAGTAGTCGCCCAAGAATTTCCTGGTAAATGAAGATGGAAAATTAATAATACATTAACGTATTACTCAAGTTTTCAAGATTAGGAATTATTATAATACATATCTCTCTTTGGACTAATATCTTCACTTGAAAAAAATATAGTAGTTAAAGCAGAAAGGGAAATGTAGTGAAAGTTGAGAAAAACATACGGTTGAGGGTAATAAGTAAATGTAGTTGAAAAGACAAAAAATATGTTGCTGAAACTAAAATAAATTTTAAATGAAGCTAAAAAGAAATGTAGCTGAATTGTAAGCAGTTGATCATTGAGGTATATGCTAATGAAGAAGTAGGTGCAAGCATGTGCTGGGAATAGTTTCCAAGATTTCATTTAATTGCATAAATAAATTCTTTATATAAAAATAGTCAAACAAATTATCTATTGTGAATTGATTGGAAAATCAAACTTTCCAGTATCCTTCTGTAGAACCACATTTCTATTGCTTCAAGTCTCTTCTTCATATGTGAGAAGATTGTCTCAACATTCACTGCCATATAGGAGAACTGATATTATGTTACAGTTTAGTACTACTTTCTTGTTTCTAAAAAAAGATTTTGTGTTTTGTATTACTTTGCTTAGCTTCTGGAAGGCATTTTTCACTATCCCAATGCACCTGGTAAGACTTGTAATTCTCTCAGAATCACCCCAGTGTATACGCTGAAAAAGGCTGGTGAGAAGACACATCCTTTCTATTTTTGTATATTTACTCAATTTGCAGTACTCCCTTGATAAATGGATGATATATAAATGAAATGGTGAAGACTATTCAGTATCTGTCTATATTTCTGAGATGAGGTATTATGTATATTTGCATTATTCAGACTATTGTCCTCATCTTTGTCGCCATATTTATTACAACATTTCGGCCTTTCAGTATCTGTCTATATTTCTGAGATGAGGTATTATGTACACTATTTGCATTATTCAGACTATTGTCCCCATCTTTTGTCGCCATATTTATTACAACATTTCGCCTTTCAGTATCTGTCTATATTTCTGAGATGAGGTATTATAACTATTTGATATTCGACTATTGTCCTCATCTTTTTGTCACTATATTTATTACAATGTTTCAGCCATTGTATGCTCCAGCCTCCTTCAGGTGTTTGGAATGTCGAACTGAACCCTTTATTTCACTGAAAATAAAGGGTTAAGTTCAACATTACAACCACCTGAAGAAGGCTGGAGCATACAACAGCCGAAACGTTGTAATAAATATGGCGCCAAAGATGAGGACAATAGTCTGAATAATGTAAATAAGGTGAAGACTATTGTTGGTTTCAATCCGGAAAGGGAATGACTGCAAAATTCTTTCCCTCCCCAACTTATAGCCAGAAGCACACAAATGCATGCTGGAATTTCTTCCTAGACAATAAAATAGGCTGGTTCTCATTTTCATCTGACTCAGTCCTGGTCTGTCTTGAAGTCAAAATGCTACATTTGCTTGTGTGAATTTGCTCTTCTGTGTCAATCCCAATTCTTAGTTTGTGTACTTTTTGCCTTATTACTGTTAATTTGCCTTGCATATATTGTTTGCTTACTTTATATTATTTTTTTTTCCCTTGTCTTTGTTATTGCTTATTGCAAACTTTATCAATTCTCTTTGTTTGGACAGTTCTATTATTTATTTTACATTTAATCATGGCCACTCACTCTACAACTATTAACAATGAAAGATTTTTCAAAAAATGTTGGTAAATTTTGCATCAAAATTAATAAAAAAAAACAATTAATCTGAAACATACAATTGGAATGTCTTCCTTTGGTTTACAAAGTTCCACCAGAAGCCAAATTCCATAACGGCTGAGCAGTTTTCTGTCAGTTGTGCCCTCATCATAAAAGTCTTCATCTTCAGGTATTTGATAAAAATATTCATCACCCATCTCAACAATACGCTTTGACTGTAAAGGCTGGGCTTCCTTCAACAAACTGCAAAGAAAAAATTATGACTTCTGACTTCATGTCTTATGACTTTTCAGGAAAAGATTCCTTTTTTTTCATCTTTCTGTTCAGAAAAATGAAATCTTAATCTGAGTGAATATTTTTTAATTTTGTGCAGATTATATATAGAACTAATTTTTCATGATTCAATTCCTGAATATTTCTCTTATTTATAGATGCTAATTCTTACTAGTATACATTGACTTTCACACTACTTCAGCCACTATACTATACTAAAAATACTAATCAAAAATTATTAACAAGGCTTTATCTAAGAAATTTATACAACTTAAGACTATTACTACTTGGTGTAAAAGCAAGAGAAATAAGATGAAAGAAATACCATTCAAAAATGGATAATAATTGACAATGCTTCAGCTAAGAAATTCAGACAACTTAAGACTATTACTACTTGGTGGAAAAGCAAGAGAAATAAGATGAAAGAAATACTAATCAAAAATGAATAATACTTGACAATGCTTCATGTAAGAAATTCAGACAACTTAAGACTATTACTACTTGGTGGAAAAGCAAGAGAAATATAATGAAAGAAATACAAGTTAATGTTTTTTAATGTTGAGACTAAATACAATAAAATAATGGAAACATTTGCAAATACCTAATAAGCATAGAAAAGACATTCATATTAAATTGAAAAGTCCTTTTACTACTGACTATGATCTTTTCCAAAATAGAAATATTCACTCAGAAAAGATCCAGAATTTCAAACTCACCTAACAATGGCATCAATAAGGTAACGTTGCATTTCATGGTTACAGTCCCAGATTTCAGGAATGCTCTCGTGGTAGATATGTTTTTCTCCAGCTTCTGTGTTGTGCCGCATTTTATGGCAGTCTCTGCAATAACGCACAGGCCTGTTGCCATTTTGACTTGCACATTCAATACTGAAACATGTGCACACTGCTATTGCATTGCTTGAGCGACAATTCTGTATTAAAAAAAAAAAAAAAAAAAGAATATAACAGTCTGAGAAAACTTTGACAACATTTTTCAAAGATAGATTATCGGGATAGGTATTTACTTATGACTATATATAAAAGTTCAATAATTATAATTACTATATTATAATTCAATTTCTGGATTCTTTTTACACAGCCAATATAGTACATGTTAGCACAATACTATTAAAATGCCCTAACTTGGGTAATAAAGAAATTTCCAATCTGACCAATTCTACATTCCACACTAATAACTGTGATACTGCTACCACAAACACAATGACAATACTTTACAAATAATCAAGTTTAGTGATAATTAACATTTATAAACAATTATAAATTCTCTAAATTGGAGGCTACTTGATATTAACTGGAGGCCAATGAAGATAGAATTTGAACAAGTTGATAAAAAATTCTGATTGTGCAGTGGTTAGTGAGCTAGTTTTACACTCAATTACTGATTAATTGAACTTGTGCCTTACACGACACCATACATTTAGAGCCATGTACCATACTAAATATTAACAAAAGGGAGATAACTCTACTTGTAGATAATTAATATTCTACTGAAATAATATTTTTACCATTACAGTTAGCTTTGAGTCTATCTTATAACTGTAATGATTACATACTTTCATTGAAGTTAAGTTAAAAAATAAAACAGGAAGAAGAAAAGGATTGTCAGTGGTCAGGAATGAATGCAAGCATTACTAATCAAATAGGGCTATTATATGTATAATGGAAATGCATTTCTCATGATTTTACTATAGGAATGCATTGAAAATGAGGAAGAAAGAGATTGTCAGTGGTCAGGAATGAATGCAAGTATTACTGAGAAAATAGGGCTATGATATGTTTAATGTACATGCATTGCAAATGAGGAAGAAAAGCATTGTCAGCGGTCAAGAATGAACATAAGCATTACTGAAGGTGTAAGGATAGATTAGACATAATGTAAATTTGCTATAAGTTTATTATAGAAATGGCTCTTAAAGGATTGTACTGTAGAAATGCTTTGTAATACAAATTATAAGAGTGTCATTATATCTATAATGTCAATGCATTGTTAATGATTTGCTATAAGAATGTATTGCATAATTTACAATAGAAAGTATTGAAGATCACGAAAAAAAATGATTATCAGTGCTAAGGAATAGGAATAGCCATAGTTAGATAAAATATCTTTCTATAGGATGCCTACTCATTCTTTATTTGTCAAATTATCCTAAGAAAAAAGATGAACAGGTGTTATAATGATGACCAAAGGGACCAGTATATTCATTCCTAAGCTTACAGAATTTGCTACTTGGTCATAGCATAGTAGCTGTAGTGTTTAGGATTAAATTTATGAGAATAATTTTTAATGTTTCTCAAAAATATAAAAATAGACATTTATCACAGAGGTGGCAGGAGGAGGCACAGTGGCATAACGGATAGCAGCTCGAACTGAGAAATCAGAGAGCCAGTCAGATCCATTACATTCACTTACGTGTTGATATCCTTAGGAAAGGTATGAATCCTCTTCTTCTTCCCCCAGCTATGGGTAAATAGCAGGATAGACCAGGTTCTATAGCCTTGGATGGCAACTGGTCTACCGCAGAAAGAAATGGCAACATACTGCTGGAAAAAAATCTGCCTCATCAGTTATGTATTGAAAGATACATGATCGCCTAAGCATGTATCACGCATGGCACATAACTAGCTGTGTGTAGTCAGTGTTTTCTGGCTTGTAATACAGTTACCTAATCCATTTCCTTCGACCAACAGTGTAAGTCAAACAATCCAACAAGTGTTTTCTGTTTACTACAGCAGTCGCACTTCTGTCCATCACCTCTTTAAGCACTTTTTATAGAGTGACTGACAGGTCAAATTTGAATATGTTAAAAGAGATTCTTGCGAAAATCTGTCCGACTCTGAGATCTATTGTTTTTAAATATACAACCCATAAAGCTGCCATTTTCTTTTTGGGAATATTTTACATGTGAGACATGTCCGAATCCGTTTTCTCTAGTGTTATAATGTGTTTAGGTGCAATTCCTGCATGTCTACTACCATGTGGCCCTTTAGGGATAAGGAAACTAGGATGTATTCTTTAGCTACTGCTGGTCTATGAGGTAACATGGTGAATATCTGCTCCCCACTACTAAATCTGAAATTCTCCACTAAAAAAAAAAAAAAAAACATGTCTCTTTATCATTCCTTTGAGTTTGTTTCAAATTGTTATTGTTTCTTTTTGAAAAATGTTTTCTTTGTGTATTTCTTCAAAATGTATTTTGTTTATCCATTTCTCCCTTTAAGAGATATATTTGCATTGTAATGTTCTCTTTGTTCAAAATACCTGAGAATTAAGAAGGCCGTAGTTAGAGAGTATTGAAGGAACAGAAGACTAGGTAGGAAAAACAAAGAAGGGGTTTATTAAATACTCATACAGAGAACAGAAATACTTGAATAAACTCAAATACTATTCAAATGTGGCTACTTGCCATATTTATGAGTAGAAGCAGTCCATTGTCGCAGTAGTAAGGAAGAGCGGAAAGTACGCTACTCTACAACAATTTATTTTGTGTCTAGTTTTCACAATGTATTTCCTAAATAAAGAAATAACATCAGTATGAAGTGTGGACCTTTTTCAGTGTGACTGTAGTCACTTACAATAGGCAATAAATGTAAATTGATATTCAAAGTATTTCTTGGTCATAAGGTTTGAATTAAAAAAAAAAAAAAAAAAAAATAGTATCTTACCCTGTTCTCACAAGATGTTGGGACATGAGACATTGGCAAGAGAATGTCGACCATGTATTCACCATGTTCCCTCTTGAGTGGCTCGGCACAATCACTGCAGATGTACAAAGGAGGTGGCTTGTCTCGAGACTGGATGGCTAAAGCTGGATTTAAACACATCTTAAAAGAAAAAGAAATGAATTTCACTAAACATTAAATTAAATATTTCTATTAAAATTTTTGTGACATTTAGTGATATGTTGGCCTTGTCTGTATGTTTTTTTTTTATATTTTTTTTAGTGTTGAAAGGGCATCACTTGACCACAAACAGGATTGTAATATTATATGCAAAATTATACATGAAATACAATGAAATACATTTTAGATACAGTTTGTGTTTTATAGGTTTGGTTTTGGTTTATTTTGTTTTGTGGCATATTAACCACAATAAGTTATTTACAGATCGACACAGCTAGTAAGGAGATGTGATTAAATATACTTTAATGTTTAAAAAAGATTTATTCATTATTATTATTGTTTAGGTAATAAGCATTATAACATAACACAAATAGCTATATTATGGAAAAAGGAATTTTTGACAATATATGCATTTTTTCTTTTTTTTTTTCAAAAATTTATTGCTGGTAATTTTTTTTTTTTTTTTTCAAAAATGTATTGCTGGTAATTTTTTTTTTTTTTTCAAAAATTTATTGCTGGTAATTTTTTTTTTTTTTCCAAAATCTATTGCAGGTATTTTTATTCTAAAAATCTATTTTTATACTTTCATAATGTTTTGACCTCAGTTTGGGGGTTAACTATTTGCCCATAGCTGAGACACTAACAAATGATACCATCCTGAGTTAGTGTGGACCTGAGAACAGCAGCAATTAAAAGGTGGTTTCACACTCCTCAAAACCTCCCGGTCATGATGCCAGATGTAGTTTATCATCATACTCAGGACAGTGTGTTTTATAGGCATAAGGAAAAAAAATCATAAACTGATTTATTATACATCTCAGCATGTTAAGTAATACACAATAAGATAACTCTGAAGGCATAAATAATTTGTTATAATTCAGAAACATTTTTAATTATTCAAGTTTTTCTTTACAATGTTGAATTAGAGAAATAAGCGTTTTGTCAGTAATTTATTCTTTTTAGTGATATTCAATGAGTTTTTCTTTTATATCTCAGTAATATATTTCATGGAAATTATAGTATTATTCAAAGAACATATATGTATATAATTTTGGTAAGCAAATTTTTGGTTTGCTTATCTTTAGCTGGCAACATTTTATCAGAGATCATCTTAATGTCTGCTGTCTCAGGCAGTCAAAGTCAAAAAGAAAGAAAGTTTAGATTTTTATTTCATTTGGTTTCATAAAAAAATTGTTCTAATGCATCATGGGAATATTTTATTTAACTTTTTTTTATAACCTAACTTTTTCTTTCTTTATTGTTAACTATAATTCTTATCTTGTATTTTAAAGTATTTATATTGCTTAACTGTTAATTTTTCTTTTATTATTAATTACTTTGGTTCCAGACTACTATATAGTCTACTAAGAGCAGCTGGGGTTTATTTAATATTTTATTTATTGCTCTCAGTACAAACTATTCAAGATTATTAATGCTGTAAAAAATTTTTAAATAAGACACATTTACATTATGAAAAGTGTTAAAAATTAACCTATATCCTCTTGGCATCATTTTAAACCAACACCTTGTTTATCTTTTTTTTCATCAATTCAACCCAAGCAAGGAAATAAAGCCACTAGGATGCAAGAGGTTACTGTGTGTTAGAGAATATGAGAAAAAACTACTATTAAGGAGAGAGGGCAATAAAAGAACAAGAATTAAGAAGACAGAAGATAACGATTGACATTGCATTTAAATTGTTGAAGATCACAGTTTGCTGGAAAGCATGGAGCCGGAAGAGAGTTCCACAAGTGGGAAGTGCAAGGGAAGAAACTGTTAGCATAGAACTCATGGTTTTATCTAGCCATTTTAACTGTAAAATGATGAAACCTTGGCACCAATATAGCACTGGTCTTAAATTCATAAAATGATAGAGTAAAGTTCATCAGAACAATTACCATGAAAATATTTATAGAAAAGGCACAGTGAAGCTATGTTATGCTGGTGGGAAAGTGACTGAAGCTGAGCTAAACTACAATATGAACTTTAATTAAAATGGTCACAATATATGAGAAAAAAAAATGGTGTCAGTTTAAACTGACACCAGAACGATGTAGATTAAACTTGTTGCATGAAGTATTATATATTTGTGTATTCCATTAGTAAGGAGTAAGTTCCATTCAGCTTCTTCCCCAGAACTGTTATTTTGTGGAACAGACTCCTTAAAGAATGCTTTTCCTGTCACTTCAATAGTAAGTTCTTCAAGTTCTACTGTTATCTATCCTACATAATCTCATGATATACACTTCTTACTTCCTCTCTTACAACATCATCATTCATTAAGCCTCTACCTTGAGTGGCTCTTAGGCCTTGTACTGGGTGAACAATTACGGTCTTGGTGTCAGTTTAAACTTTTCTTTTTTTCTATGTATCTAAACTATAATTATAAACTGTGTTATACTCTGCTACAAATTTAATTTCTTTCTGATTCACTCTACATCAAAAGCTATCAGCTGAGGTGAATGCTAAGAAAGCAAAACTAAAAATAATAAAGTAATCTTCTGCACAGGGGCTTCAAGCATCACATTTGTCTTACAAAACAAATCCCCTCAAAAAAAAAAAATATATAAAATTACAATTTAAGGAGCCAATCACAAATGTGGCTAAAGCAAAAGCCATGGCAAAAAACGCTGAGTCATGATCCATCCAGTCTGCTTTTAATAATGTCACTCACAACACTGTTGGAAGGATAAACCAGTGAACAAGTTGTCACAGTCATTAACAGAGACCTCATTCAGCCAACCCAACAGACACATCAACTCCAAGCCTTACTGACTCTCCCCTTCCTCAAGTTGCTTTCCTTGCCCACAAAGACTTTCTGCTTTGATCCTCTTTATTGACAATACAAAGAATTTTAACTTAATAATTCTAATCTTCTTTCTTTTCACCTTACTGATAGTACCTGTTGTTTCATTTGTTCTCTTGTGTTACCATACGCATGTTTATAAGTGAAAATCAAAATGGTCTCAATTTATAAAAATAAAAGGTGTTGGTCTAACCCATATGCTGGGATAAGTTTAGACTGACACCCACTTTTTCCTATAATTCTTAACAGTAATTTTGGAAAGTTAAAATTTCAATTATACATACATACATACATACATACATATATATATATATATATATATATATATATAAAATTCTGTGACTTCTGTTAGTCCATCACAACCTCTAAAATAGCCATACATTGACTGATCAGAAACAAATTTTGGGGAGAAGTGCTAATAGGTAATTGGGTACAAAGTACAGTTGGTTTTACTGGGGTGGGTAAAAACTGAAAAGTAGGGTTTTTGTCAAAGTATTTTTTTTAAATAAGCTTATTCAAATTTCATCGATTGTTTTGCAAAATTGAACGAAATGTAGTTTGTAAATTTTGACAAAATAATGTTAGCAATAATTTCAACAATACTAAATACTGTGAGGATTTCAACATTTCGATACTAAATACTGTGAGGATTTCAACATTTCAATACTAAATATTGTGAGGATTTCAACATTTCGATACTAAATATTGTGAGGATTTCAACATTTCAATACTAAATACTGTGAGGATTTCAACATTTCGATACTAAATACTGTGAGGATTTCAACATTTCAATACTAAATATTGTGAGGATTTCAACATTTCAATACTAAATATTGTGAGGATTTCAACATTTCCATACTAAATACTGTGAGGATTTCAACATTTCGATACTAAATACTGTGAGGATTTCAACATTTCAATACTAAATATTGTGAGGATTTCAACATTTCAATACTAAATATTGTGAGGATTTCAACATTTCAATACTAAATACTGTGAGGATTTCAACATTTCAATACTAAATATTGTGAGGATTTCAACATTTCCATACTAAATACTGTGAGGATTTCAACATTTCCATACTAAATACTGTGAGGATTTCAACATTACAATACTAAATATTGTGAGGATTTCAACATTTCAATACTAAATATTGTGAGGATTTCAACATTTCCATACTAAATACTGTGAGGATTTCAACATTTCAATACTAAATATTGTGAGGATTTCAACATTTCAATACTAAATATTGTGAGGATTTCAACATTTCAATACTAAATATTGTGAGGATTTCAACATTTCCATACTAAATACTGTGAGGATTTCAACATTTCAATACTAAATATTGTGAGGATTTCAACATTTCAATACTAAATATTGTGAGGATTTCAACATTTCAATACTAAATATTGTGAGGATTTCAACATTTCAATACTAAATATTGTGAGGATTTCAACATTTCCATACTAAATACTGTGAGGATTTCAACATTTCAATACTAAATATTGTGAGGATTTCAACATTTCAATACTAAATATTGTGAGGATTTCAACATTACAATACTAAATATTGTGAGGATTTCAACATTTCAATACTAAATATTGTGAGGATTTCAACATTTCCATACTAAATACTGTGAGGATTTCAACATTTCAATACTAAATATTGTGAGGATTTCAACATTTCCATACTAAATACTGTGAGGATTTCAACATTTCAATACTAAATATTGTGAGGATTTCAACATTTCAATACTAAATATTGTGAGGATTTCAACATTTCCATACTAAATACTGTGAGGATTTCAACATTACAATACTAAATATTGTGAGGATTTCAACATTTCAATACTAAATACTGTGAGGATTTCAACATTTCAATACTAAATATTGTGAGGATTTCAACATTTCCATACTAAATACTGTGAGGATTTCAACATTTCAATACTAAATACTGTGAGGATTTCAACATTTCAATACTAAATACTGTGAGGATTTCAACATTTCAATACTAAATATTGTGAGGATTTCAACATTTCAATACTAAATACTGTGAGGATTTCAACATTTCAATACTAAATATTGTGAGGATTTCAACATTTCCATACTAAATACTGTGAGGATTTCAACATTTCCATACTAAATACTGTGAGGATTTCAACATTTCCATACTAAATACTGTGAGGATTTCAACATTACAATACTAAATATTGTGAGGATTTCAACATTTCCATACTAAATACTGTGAGGATTTCAACATTTCAATACTAAATATTGTGAGGATTTCAACATTTCAATACTAAATATTGTGAGGATTTCAACATTTCCATACTAAATACTGTGAGGATTTCAACATTACAATACTAAATATTGTGAGGATTTCAACATTTCAATACTAAATATTGTGAGGATTTCAACATTTCCATACTAAATACTGTGAGGATTTCAACATTTCAATACTAAATATTGTGAGGATTTTGTGTTGCAAAAAATTCCAGTGTTGTAAAATTTCCAATTTTTCATATGAAAACAAGAAAACAGAAACTAAGCAAAATGGTCCACAATATAGAGGAAAAATGAAGCTGTCAGTTTAAACTGATACCATATTTTTTCTATATATCTAAACTATAATTCTCAAATATAATTTTGGAAAGTGAAAATTTCACTAAGAAATGTTGGAAAATTTCCAAGTTTTCATAAGAAATTAAAAAATAAGAATTTTAAACACAATGGCCACTAAAAAAATGGTGACTATATGTATAACATATAGGGAAAACAAGGAGGAGTTAGTTTAAACTGATCCCAGGACAAAATTGGTTAAACATTTTTATTCTGAACTTCAGTAGTGTCACAAATAATTAACAAAAAGAACTCTTAAATGGGGGCAAACCTTGACTGCTTGACAATTTCTTGAATTGACACAGTTCTCTCTTTGGCATAAAACTGGAGGCCAAGCTACAAAAGAGAAAAATGAATAATTAGAAATTTTAATTAATCAGATATTTTAGCAATATTTAACTCCGACATGCATCTTTTATAGAATAATTAATATGGAGACATATTGTCAATCTTCTGCATTTTGTGTTGAATATTATTGTACATAACCCACTTTTCATCACCTCTTATGATATACAGGGTGTCCCATAATGATGGGACAGATTTTAAATGCAAATAGCTTGGATTATATAAATGACAGAGTACCAAATATATTTATTAGGTTGGTGCAAAAATAATGACGTAATAATGTCGTTTTTTGACGTTAAAAAATACATCAAAAAACGACATTATTACGTCATTATTTTTGCACCAACCTAATATTACATAATTGATATACAAGAGTTCAACATAGTATGTAAGATTTAAATATTACATCCCTGGTTACCACCACAAATAGAATATGCACAAGCTTGCTCTTTTATTTCAAACACAGACATTATGTAGGTCCACCGTCAGTAAAAGAGATATCAGATACCTGTAGGAAATAGAAAAGTCTTAGATAATATGTTAAACTCTTGTATATCAGATATGTAATAAATATATATGGTACTCTAAGTTATTTTTATAATCCAATATACTTGGTGTGTCCCAGCATTATTTGTTTGTTTGTTTGTTTTACAGCATATCAACCTCAATGGATTATTTAACGTCAACAAAAATTTTTATTGCTGATAATATATTTTTCTTCAAAAATCTATTTCTGAGGATATTTTTCCTTCAAGAAATCTATAACTGATAATGTTTTTTTTTTAAATATAAAGCTGTTTGTATTGCTGGTATTTTTTTTTAAAGTATTGCCAATAATAATTTTTCCTTCAAAAATTATTGTTAGTAATTTTTTTTTTTTTTTACAAAGTATTTCTGGTATTAAAAATTATTTTTACATAAGTTTGGGTGTTAACTATTTGCCCATAGCTGGGGCCCTAACAGGTGCTCCCACCCCTGGTCAGGGTGGACCTGGGAACATCAGTAATTAAGAGGTGGTTTCACGCTCCTTAAAACCTCCTGATCAGAGGCCTTGCTGTTGGACGTAGTTTATTGTCTTACCCAGGACACAGATGTAGTTTATCGTCATACCCAGGATGATGTCCCAGCATTATGGGACACCCTATATTTAAAGAACGGTTAGTTAGGATGATATATTTGTTATTATAATTGGTTCCCAACAACGGAAATAACTTATGACTCAAATTAATATTATAATATGTAGATGAAACTATGACAAATGCTAACAACAGTCAATATACAAACATTCCAGAAAGAAAGGATAATTACGTAAGTATTTATAATGGATTCCTCTCCGTTCAGATAGAGACGGATTCAGCTGTGGCCAATAGTAGAACAGCAAATTAGAAGCTGGAGCACGGGCAGAGGGTGGCCCATACGCAATAACACTGAGCAGATCCTAGTGAAAAGAAAAAGATATAACTTTAAGGATCATATATTGATATATGCGCATCCCTCTCTTCCTTAGTTACTTAATTCATACAACCATTACGACTTGCCAATAAATAACAGACTATTCTATTTTGATTGTGTAACACCCCTTGTGAGCTCCGTACAATTTCTCCGGCAGCCGTTCTCCACGCTGTGATGTTGCCGGGGGTTGGTTGAAAAAGTCGAAGTCTCAAGCTGGGGGCACAAGATAAACCATTGAAGGAACGATCTTCCACAACTTAGATGAGTTTAATCAACGCTTTATTTCGTTCAGACTTAGTCTTGCCGTTGGGGTAGGCGATGTGACACTCAGCTCTAACTCTAACTAATGGAGATCAAATGCCGAACCGACCGACTCAGACGAACGGAGTTTCACTTCTTCAGTGTGCCTGACACACGTGGCTACTTCAAGCACACGCCCGGCTGAACTGCCCGGCTCAGAAAAATCACTCGTATTTATATTGAAATAATCGGAAGTCCCTAGACCACCGGATGAAATCAAAAGATAAGCATTGGCGACTTTAAGTTAAAAATTTCAAGGTACTTAAATTTTGCTTTCTTTGATGTGTAAAAATCCTGCAGATATCTTGTCTGTAATCAGCCTCCCACGATGTATTTTCCAGGATTTTTAAATCTTTTTATCTTAACAAATCTTCGTGTGAAGGCCGTCGGATGTTTTTATAGCCCTTTTCTTTTTTATTGCCTGGAGAAAGGGAAAATTCTGTTATCTTTTCTTTATTTCCTTAATGTGTTGTCGAGATACAGTAAAGACGGTTTTTTTGACCTGGTCATTTAAAATCTATTTCCTAAACGTTTATCTTTTATCACATCTAATCACTTAGTCAAATATTTTATGGATGACTGGTAGGATTTAACAGTAATCTGATGCCCTTTTCTCTTCCACAAATTTACTTATAAAAGAAAAAGCGTTTATTTATTTATTTTTTCCTTTTCTTTTTCCCTTAGTACTTTTGTTAAACGAAACACATGTTTTTAAACTATTTTTTTATTCTTAACCGTTTTCTATTCTTAATTTATTAAAATAAAATACATATTTTACAAATCAACTTTAATAGACGCCTAGTTATCGTGTCACAATTGCATAGAAAGACAAAAAACATGTGAGAGATGCTACTTCATTTCAGTGAAAAGAAGAAAGAAAACCAGACAGAAGTGTTTAACATCTCCTGCTAATACCTCATAAATAATAGACTATTCTGTCTTGATCCCATGAGAAGATAAATGTGCGAGAAAACGGGGGGGGGACTTCTTGTGACACAAAAACAAACGCCTACTTGCGACACAAAAACGAATGACTTCTTGCGAACATGAAATGAACACCTTCTCTTTCGAACAAACACTTTACGACAGCAAACGAGCAAAACGGCACCCAAGACTGCTGCCGACAGACGACCAACCGCAATGGCTTTTGTCGCCCAAGAAAAGACGTTAAACGACTCACGCGTCTTCTTCTTGTAGTCCTCGCTCAAGTCCATTATGGTACTCCAAGGTGTGCCCGGCGACAACACACACATGCAGTTCGAGGACGCTTCTGCGCATGCTTGTTACAATAAAAGACATATCAAAGACACTACTTGGTTTCAATAAGAAAATGAAAGAAAGAATGGAAGATAAAAGTGTTTTCGATGGTTTTTCAGTGAAATGGAAAAAGTTATCAATTTCAAATCTTTTCATTTGTTCCCCCTTAAAATAATGGCCAGCATTCATATTTATAATTGTTATTGAAATATTTTGTTAAAGTTGTTCAGCACAAATATTTAATGATGCAATAGGGAAATTTCTAATGGATATTTTATTGTTGTAGAACTCACCATGAGCTTATTCAATGATTAACTTAAGAATGAAGATTCATCAGAATTTTAAAATAAAAAAACCATGAAATTTTAACAAGTACAAGACTAGTACAAATAATTTTTCTATTTAACATTCAGACTTTTATCCTCATCTTTGTTGTTGTTACTCCAATATTTGCTTTGACACTACATTCTTCAATTTTGAAATTCTGGTTTTCTTTCCCTGAAATTCTGTCCCACTTTTAACCTTTAAAATTAAATCTTTGAGTCAGGTCACCCTTGCAAGATCTACTAGTACCATGTAACCCAGTAATACCTGCAACATGGTCAGGTCATCAGCAACTAAACTGGTTCCCCAACCAGGCTTTCCTGGTTAGGAAGGTGGGTAGACATGCAGCAGGATTAAAAGCAAGGCTTGGCAAAGGATGGATAAACATTCTTTTTTTTTTAATTTTAAAATCCAGTCCACCCCATGCAAGGCAGTAAAGCCACAAAAGACACAAGCGGTTACTGGGTGCAGAAGAACAGAAACATTACTAATGAACAGGAACAAAAAAGAGTAATCAGGAGGACAGTAGATAGCGATTGACATTACATTTAAATTTTTGAAGATTAAAGTTGGCTGGAAAGCATGGACCTGGAAGGGAGTTCCACAAGTGAGAAGTGTGAGAAAAGAAACTGTGAGCATATAATTTATAGAGACATTGAACCAACTAAACTGTGAATTGATGAAAACTCAATGCTAGTCTAGTACTGTGCTTGAATTCATAAAGTCTAGTGAAGAGCTCATCTGAGAAATTACCATAAAAGTATTTATAGAAAAGGCACAGAGAGGCAAACTTACAGAAGTGGGAAAGTGACTGAAGCCAAGCCACCAGATCAGAACTGATAATATTGCTGATTCTTCTTTGGATTTTATCAAGGAACTCAAGGTAAATAGCAGGAGCAGCAGACCATGTGGTAGCAATATTCTAAGCATGGATGAAGGGTAGACTTATAGATATGTAAGATAGATTCTGGAGAGAAAAATTGTCTCACACGACACAGTGAACCAACTTTCTTAGCAGATGACCTAGCAATGGATTCAATATAGTCTTTCCACTTCATGTCAGCTGAGAATGTTAGATAGAGAAGGTGCAATGAGTCACTTTCCTGGAGATTAGCATCAGCCATGCTGATGGAAGGCAGAAATGAATCTCTCAGATGATTAATGGAGAGAAATTTAGTTTTGGAAGCATTAAAATTAAGCCATCTTTTGCCCCAGTTAACAGACTGGAGATTGTTTTGGAAATTGGCTGCCATTTTGACCTTATTGAACTGATCAGACTATCGAGACAGGAGTAAATTGTTGTGTCATCAGCATAGATACCAAGTTGAGAGCTGATGCCATTGAGAAGGTCATTAATGAAAATTAAAAACAAAGTAGGACCAAAAATGTGGCCCTGGAGGACACCTGCATTAGTACAATAGGATCTAGAGGAGTGGCCATTCGAGATAACTTTAATTTCACGATTTGATAGGAAAAACGGGATCATTTCAAAAATTTCTCCAGAGACAATATAACTTTTCCGCAGGTGGAGGAGACCTGTATGTCAAACCCTGTCAAAAGCATTCAAGATGTCCAAAGCTACAGCCCAGGATTCTTGTAGGGGGCAACAGTTATCTAGCACAATGGGTAGACTGGGCTCTATAGCTATGCATGCAGCCAGTGTGGTGAGGACATGAAAGACTTCCAAGACTGAAGTCGACAGCCAGGCCAGAAAGTATCTAAACTGACATGAATTTTCAAGTTGAAGAACATTGGTTGTGGTTTAAGCCAGAAAGGGAAAAACTCCATCAGGTTTATTGCCCAAGAGACACTACACATGAATTAATGCCTCTCTAGCTTTCAAGCCAGATATGTGGAGGGAACAGGTCAGGTGCTTAAATGTGCAGTGGCCCTACAACCACACCTAGTCATGGGACTACTGATGATGATGATGATGATGATGATGATTCTTAACCTGTAATAATTTAACCTTTAGGACTTTAGTTGATTCATTAAACAAAATAGTACCACTTTGTCCTATTGCTATAGGAAATTTTGAATGCCTATGCTAAATAAAAACACTGTTATTTAACTGTTTTTATTTAACATTTCTATAGCCTTGCTATAGAAACATGAAATATAACCCTTTCTGCTTGAATTTCTGGAATAAGAAAATATTATTTACATTCAAACTAATATCTTCATCTTTGTTGTTACTATAACAAGAAAGATGAGGACATTAATCAAAATGTAAGTAATGTAAATAAAAATGACCTTGACTGAAACTGAGAATCAGACAACCTTGAGAAAAAAAAAGAATTTAAACATCAGGAAGTAATAAGTGAATAATGCAGAGTGCTAAAAGTTTAATTAATGTATCAAAGATCTGATTATTATTATAGAGTTATTTTGATACTAAGAAATTCTTGACTTGAAAATTTCCCTTTAACATAAAATTCTGTAAACCATTTCAAACAAGATGAAAAATTGTTTGAATTTCTAAAATTATTATCATCAACTTTCTCCATTCATCTTAATGTTTGCTTTCATAATTCAAGAGACAGAAAATCTTTTCACTCAATTTCAACCCATGCTATATTGTTTGTTTACACCTTATAGTATGAATAAACTTAATAGTCTTTTCTGACAAAGTATTGTCAGTTATTTTTGACTGGTATTTCTTTCATCTTATTTCTCTTGCTTTTCCACCAAGTAGTAATAGTCTTAAGTTGTCTGAATTTCTTAGATGAAGCCTTGGCAATTATTATTCATTTTTCACTAGTATTTCTTTCATCTTATTTCTCTTGCTTTTCCACCAAGTAGTAATAGTCTTAAGTTGTCTGAATTTCTTAAATGAAGCCTTGGCAATTATTATTCATTTTTGACTAGTATTTCTTTCATCATATTTCTCTTGTTTTTACACCAAATAGGAATAGCTGATGCTGACCATTGTGAGCAATTGGTTACATTTATACATTTTCAAGGTTAATACCACATAATTTTGATGGATATTTAACTGATGATTGCAGTCAAAGAAACAAAATGAATGATCATGTGAAATAAAACTCACCTTTACAACATCCCTTTTCATACTCATAAAAAATTCAAGGATTTGAGAGTGGAACACTGCAAAGAGGAACATATAACAAAAATTAACAAAACATACATTTTTATCAGTATTGAAGTGTGTATTTAGCCAGAGTAATGCAATAAAAGGCAACAATAATAAGGTGGAATGAAAAATAATATTAATAAGGAAGAATGCATTAAGTCAGTGTATTGGGATAAAAAGTAACATTTTGTAAAATATATCTATTGGATGCTTTGGTACACATTAGTGATGTTTCTAGTGAATCTTCATTAGAGGTTTCGGGTCTTTCAACATCATACCTCCCTTTCCATGTTGACCTAGCTGATACTCATCAGGTTTTCGACTTGTGTACCTTCTGTTAGCTACAACTTTTCCATCCTTCCGACTAGACACTGCAACTCTTCTTGGCAATTTATAGTCCAATCCCAGATAACTTCTGGTTCACCAGCAATGTGTGCTCTTCCATAAAAAAGGAAGCAAATATAACCAGTTTCTATCTAGTAAGAAACATGGCGGCGTGCTCGGCTTGAAGTGGTAAGTAACGATTTGTTTCCCCTCACTGAGGCATATACACAGACATGTACACACACAAACAATAATAAGATGGAATCAAACTAGTAATAAAATAATAGTAATAATGAAGAGCGTATAGAGCCAGAGTGTTGGGATAAAAAGCAACAATAATAAGATGGAATCAAACTAGTAATAAAATAATAGTAATAATGAAGAGCGTATAGAGCCAGAGTGTTGGGATAAAAAGCAACAATAATAAGATGGAATCAAACTAGTAATAAAATAATAGTAATAATGAAGAGCGTATAGAGCCAGTGTGTTGGGATAAAAAGCAACAATAATAAGATGGAATCAAACTAGTAATAAAATAATAGTAATAATGAAGAGCGTATAGAGCCAGTGTGTTGGGATAAAAAGCAACAATAATAAGATGGAATCAAACTAGTAATAAAATAATAGTAATAATGAAGAGCGATAGAGCCAGAGTGTTGGGATAAAAAGCAACAATAATAAGATGGAATCAAACTAGTAATAAAATAATAGTAATAATGAAGAGCGTATAGAGCCAGTGTGTTGGGATAAAAAAGCAACAATAATAAGATTGAATAAAACTAGTAATAAAATAATAGTAATAATGAAGAGGAACTAATCCGGAAATATCAATTTCTCGGACCTCCTAGTTTCCAAACCCAATTATTGCTATGGCTGTAGTATCACCAAACAGCTGAATTTGTCACCAAAACATTTGTTATGGCTTTGTGATGGGGTCATAAATTCAAGAAAATCCAAGCAAACTGAACATGATGATAATGAAATGGAATGTGTTTGTGGGACTTCATGGACAGGAAAAGGCTTTTTGGAAATTATAGATGTACTTGATACTTACTGCTATTGTCAGTGTGCTGGAACACGATGGTTATAATAGCAGCTACTGATTCACTGGCATACGTTGGTTCATCACATCCATAACTTCCTGCAAATATAAATAAATACTTTATAGAATGATTCCCTAACCTGGGTGATATTGCCCACTAGTGGATGATCTCAACTATTGAGTGGGCAAGGAGCAACTGAACAAAAAATGATGAGTGATTGGAAATTTTTTTTGAAGGGAATGGGGGATTTTAAGTATTAAAAAGGTATTTCAACATATCCAACTTGAAAAAATATATTCAAAGGACATATGCAAGAACATGTATTAAAAATAACAAACAGGAGGTTAAATGGGAATAATTGGGTTTTATTCCCAGATAAAATATAAATATCACCACAAACAAGGAATATTCTGGTATTTTCTATAGTTTTGACAAGGGTTATTAACATTCAAATAGTTCTTCAGATAAAATAACATTTTTTTTAGAGGGGGGGGTATATAAATCAGATAAACAAAGACCAAGAACAACTTTGCCACTAAAATTAAGAAGTGACCTCAGCATAATTTTTATTTAATATAAAATTGTTTTTACTATTTTTTATTACACTGACTATTTCAAATTTATCAAGGCACCAAAATTGCTCATCAAAACATAATTTACTCATCACTCTATATTTTTGAATATTTCCTATACAAGTGGGTGGTGGAGAATTTTTCTATTTGAAAATGTGCAATAAAAGGTTAGGAACCTGTAGTGAAAGAGATAATCAGTTTCCCCGAAAACTTCAAAAGTTTCAGGGTAACTGATTATCTCTTTCACTACAGGACCACTGCTTTATAGCATTCAAATTGGATAATGTGGATTAGTGGTTAATATTTGCTTTCTGACCATGAAACCCAGGTTTAAATCTCACCATGGTCAATTGATGAAGAAGGTAATTTCTTGATGCTATCAGTCGACGTTATCTTTCGAAAGTGCCTAAAAACCAAGCCATTGGTTGACACAAGCCTTGTGAATAAAATTGTGAAGACGAATGCCATCAATGGTTGTGCTATCACACAGTCATTGTGACAAGAATATTATATTGGCCTTTTTGATCACACTAAACAATGTGTTCTTTCCCAGAGACTTTAATTCAGGTCGACTCACTCTAATTGTAGTATTTTTTTCTTACTACAGTGGCGTTCACCTTGTACAAGGCCCTGGGGCCACTTAAGGTAGAGGGTTATAAAACTAGTAATAAAATAATAGTAATAATGAAGAGTGTTGGGATATTAAACAACAATAATAAGATCATAGAATAAGAGGTATACAGCTTATGCAGATATGTGGGGGAGGGTTAGGGTTAACCCTAAGCTTGAACAGGTTAAGATTGTTGTGATCAGAGAAGCAGCCCCTTGAATCAATTCCACAAAGCAGTGAGTCATGGGAAGAAGTTGCTTGAGTGGAACTTGCATCTCACCAGGGAAGGGAATGAGGGTGGTTCACTGAAATGGGCGTGGCATGGTAAGTCTTAGCTGTGAAGGTTAGAACTGGTGGAACTAAGAAGTGTAGTTCATCTGAACACTCACCATGGTAAATGGCGATGGAGCAGGGAGAAGCTTGCAATGTCTCATCTGTGAGAAAGGGGTGCAGAATGGAAAATAATTTGTTGCCTACAAGGACATGGAGACAGTTTTAGACTCTATTGAGAGGGAAAAGTGCAGACTTGGCAGCTCCCACATATGAACAAGAAGGCTCTGTGGGTGTAACAGGAATTGATGAGCAGCCCAAGCAGACAGGTATGCTCAGAAATGATTAGCCAGCTATATATATGTATGCATCTTTCATTGAAAATGGCTAACAAGGAAGATTTAATTAATCTTTTATTGAATTTTCTCATCAATCTAACAATTTTCTGTTTTTCAGGGGTTAAAGAACAAAGGAATTGTCTATAGTCATAATTGCTCTGAGCACTTTTCAGCTACTTCTCTAGCCATTATCAATGTGTTTTTGGGTGGTGAAATTCTATTTGTGGTTGCTACGTAGTAATTTTACAGTTTGGAGTTTGAGTGGTTTGTGCTTCTTGGCAGTCCCATGACCACCAAGGAGCAAACAAATTGCTCAAACTCCACGCTGTAATATATATATATTGGGTGTAACAGCAAAATTGTCCAAATCGTGTAACAGCAAAACTGTCCAATTGTTAGATTAAGCTTTGAACTGTTGCATCTGAGAAATGATTAACGATATCTTACAGGAATTCTCCAAAGTTTTTATAACACTATTGGACTCTACTTTGAACTATAAGAATGTATTTAGCTCCGAGTTGAAATGATGATCCCTCTTGCTGTTGTGACCTCCTTATCGAGTTTTCCTCTCTAACACTCCCTCTTTTTTAAACATTCACTGTTCTCTTGATCACTCTGGAATAGACTTTGATGATGGAAGCTAGAGTATGAATGTTGGTACCATTATTGAAGGCCTGAATGATATTTTCCTCTCACCATTGCTCAGTTAGGAAGATATAGTGAGGCTGACACAAAATGATTTTAACCTATTCTCTTTCTAGCTTAATAACTCAAAGGGTTTTTCAGTGATTCTTACAATAAATGGTGTCAAGATGGCTAAACATTGTATCCGAAAACCTGGAAAAAAGAAACAATTAGTTTAGTTGTTTTTTAGATATTAAATATTTTGTGGGATGTACAATTATCCCATGCTGTTGCACGATTTGGACAATTTTGCTGTTACACCGGGATATATATATATATATATATATATATATATATATATATATATATATATATATATATATGAGTGTGCAGCTATATTTTATATCATAAAGAAACAATTTATACAAAGAATTAATTAGTAATGTTAATGTGATTAATGGTGAAACCACTTTGCTAACAAGACATTAACTTACTATCAATTCCTTGAATAATAAGATCCTTATATTTGAGTTGTTGTCAGATGCCAAGTACTTTTGACAGTTTTAAATTGTCATCTTCAGGGTGCACCTTTCCTATACATAAGCAAATACTAAGCAAAATATATATAGACTGGAAGATTTTTTTTAAATTGTGCTATTTATTGACAGTTAAATATATATTTTGGAGCGTGTAATGCCTCAACACTAGATTTCTTGTTCAAATCAATTAAGTGAGAATTTTGTTTGAATTTTGGTTTCAATTGCTAATTAATTCTTTGTATAAATTGTTTCTTTATGATATAAAATATAAGCTGCACACTCTAATAAATTTACTAAATCAGATACACAATACATAATAATCAGAATCTTAAATTCTGTGAAAAACTACTAAGACATTTTAATCTACTAATTGGATTATACTTAAGTCCATATCACTTTAACTGATAAACACATATAACAAGAAAATATTGTGGATATATCACTTTTCAAAATACAAACAGAATTCTCGATTGATTTGAACAAGAACTTTAGTGTTGCAGCATCACATTCTCCAAAACACATATTTAACTGTTAATAAATAGCATAATTTAAAAATCATCTTTCATCATATTTTGTCTTAGTGTTTGCCTATGTATGGGAAAATTGTGCCCTGATGCTTCATCTCTGTTTTTGTTTGATTATTAGATTTGTGAACAATGCCATACTACTTGACAGTATGGCCATAGGAAATCTACTGAATATCTAAAACATTGAAACAATTTAGCCCTGAACAATGACAAGACAAGAAGGTTTTATAGCTGGAATTCTTTTTATTAAGGACAATCAAACACATGTGAAGGACATACTGAAAAAAAGATGAGGTATGGTTGGGGGAAGAGCTTACTATACCAACAGATGATGCACGAGGGTTACATATGGTACAAGGCCGGGTTTAACGTGGGATTTCCAAGCCCATAGGCTCGGCCAAAAATATTCCCTCTTTGAACCCGCATAAACAGGTTATGGGGCAGTCAACCACCGCGAACGAGACTCTGCCCTTTGGCGGAGCCTCGTCCGGGTTCCTCTCCACCCGAAGGCAGAGAGTTAGACTGTTAGCTCTACCCTGGAGCCAAGTTGAGGCGTGCAAGTGGGGACACAAGTAGACATTTCTAAACAGGGGTGTGTGGTTAAAAATTGCAGCCATGTACACCCAGGAAACACCAGGTACCTTGGCTAGTTATATATATATATATATATATATATATATATATATATCCTTTAATCATCATAGAGAACCATTTTTGCACTTCATCTGCATGGCTGATGCTAACCTTCTTGGTCTCAGATTTTCTACTGATCTGAAGTGGAGCAGTTATATTGAAACAATTGCTAAAATCTGCTGTTAAGGAGGTTCATTCACTCTGTTGCTCCAGACAATTTTTCTCATCAGAATCCATTTTTCACATTTATAACTCTACCATTCATCTGTGCATTGAATCTTGCTGCCATATCTGGTCTGGTGCTTCAGCTATATATCTTGTGATTCTTGACAAAATTCAAAGAAGGGTCTTTAATGTTATCAGCCCTGACTCAGTATCTTGACATCAGTTACTTTCCCACCGACGTGACGTGACTTCCCTCTGTCTTTTCTATAAATATTTTCATGGCATGAGCTCTTCCCCTTGGTATCTCAACCACATGAATTTTAATCTAGTACTAGATTGGCAGATAGGTCTCATCATTTTACTGTTGAAATAGCTAGATGTAACCATAAGTTCTTTTCTAAGTTTCTTTTCTTGCACTTTGCATCTCTGGAACTACTCTCTTCCCGTTTCTTGCTTCCTTGATAACTACAATCTTTAAAAACTTAAATGCAGTGGCAATCACCATCTTCAGTATTCCAAAATCCTGTTCTTTCTATTCATTAAAGTTTTCTCATTCTCTTCCACTCCCAGTAATCTCTTGCATCTTAGTGACATCATCACCTTGGTTGGAGTGAAATGATTAAAACTATACATATATATATATATATATATATATATATATATATATATATATATACATATTTGGTTGGATTGATGTGAGTTTGTGACTCTGGGTTTCACGCTTTTGCAATCATCAGATGAATGTAATTATTGTGATGGTAGCTTGAATTAAATAGTGATTTTTGGTGGTTTGTCTTTTTTTTTTTATTCGTTTGGTATAAATTTGGATAATAGGTACTTGTTCTCATGCCTACATTTGGAGATTATCTCTGATTTTTTGTTTAGTAAATTCTTTTGCTGTGTGTGTGATATTATTGCTACTTTTTTGTGTAGGCAAAGTAGGCATTTTTTTGTAATGTTGCTGTAGGCAAACAACAGCATAATGTACTACATCGGTGCTACTGAAGGTCCATTTAAGAAGAGGAATAACAATCACAACCTTTCATTCACCAACAGGAAATACTCGAACAGCACTACACTATCCACATACATATGGCAGCAAAAAGACAGAAATATCACACCAACAATAAGTTGGAAAGTATTGAAAAAAGCTCCTGCCTACAGCAACATTACAAAAAAATGCCTCATAATTTTACACAGAATACCTATTATCAGGATTTATACCAAAATAAATTAATATATATAACAAAATAAAATAAAACACCAACAATCACTTTTTAGTTTAAGCTACCACAATAATTACATTTATTGTTTTTATCATTCTCCCACCACTACTACTAATCAGTTCTACCAATTTACAATAACTATTAGCTACTTACATTATCATTGTCTCCAATCCCTTACAACATTATTACCACATCACATCTACTAGTATCATATAGACCCGCCATAATTATTACATAAACTACCCCCTCCCCCAGCATATTAAATACCACCATATAAAATAACCAATAAGGATTACAAACCGAAATTTCTACCAGTTATCAAAAACAAGCAAATAACCAGCTTTAAAATAATAACAAATAAACCCCTTTTTTTTTTAAATTAAAAATAATAGTAATTTTTACCTATAATAATTTTGCACAGATACCTGCGAGGAAATATTATTCAGTGAAAAAAATAGAAAAATGCTCTGATTGTTGACATGGAGATATTCACGAGAAATTTTCGCTACACTTCCAATCTTTGAATTTCAACATACAAATGCGTATGTATAGACACAACGCCACCCATATACATACATATGTCCAATCCGAAATTGTCCACATATGTTTATATATGTATGAGTCCCTACGGACAAGCAAGTGTGTATGTGTGTCTGCGTACTTCATCTGATGTACGGACATGCATCTATGTTTGCGTTAGCATGATGACATCATGACGACGATTTCCCCCACTCCCATAATAACACCAATACACACACTCTACATAAACCCAAAATTTTAAAAAGATTAATCAGTTTGTCTGACGATCGCAAAAGCGTGAAACCCAGGGTCACAAACTCACATCAATCCAACCAAATATGTTAGCTCTATCTCTGATATTGAGCACTTTCTAATAAGTACCACACATATAATATATATAAATAATTATATATATATATATATATATATATATATATATATATATATATTTTCATATATATATATATATATATATATATATATATATATTTATATACACACATTTTTCATATATATATATATATATATATATATATATATATATATATATATATATACACACACATTTATATATATATATTTATTTATATACACACATTTTTCACACACACATATATATATATATATATATATTGACTTATATACACATTTTCACACACACATATATATATATATATATATATTTATATACACACATTTATATATATATATATATATATATATATATATATATATATATATTTATATACACACATTTTACATATATATATTTATTTATATACACACATTTTTCACACACATATATATATATATATAGACTTATATACACACATTTTCACACACACATACATATATATATATATATATATATATATATATATATATATATATATATATATATATATATATACACATTTTCATATATATATATATTATTAATTAATGAATATTGAACACTTAAAATCCCATAGGTAATAATTTTTATTTCATGAGAGCTTTAAATTTAATTAAATTTCTTTTAATTTAAATTTCTTGGTTAATTATATTAAAAACTTATAGTAATTTACATTAAATTCTAAATTTTTTGCTAATTTCAGAATGTTTGATATTGCTTCGCCAAGATCAAGATATTGCAGTTATCTGGATTGAAAGTCTGAATCACTTACCCAATGTCATAGGAAGGAGACTGCTGCAAAGCAAGTCAATTGTGTCTTTGTGTAGAGAAGGGGGAAATATTGCCAATGTTGAGGCCACAGTATACGGAAGAGCATCAAGGAGGTCATGTTCTAGAAATGGTACTAAACAACCAAGAACATTTGATATTGCTTCTCCAAGATCTGGAAAGAAAAAAAAAATTATATACTTTTACAATCATATTTTTAGGGGTATAGGAGAAAAATATTTCAAAAAAGAAAAACACTTTGAAATGAGACACAGAATATCCAGCATTTTATTGCCTTCAATAGTGGAGTAAACAGAAATCTCCTTTATAAAAAAGTCTTCAACAGCAAAAAATATAATATTTACTTGCTAGTGAAGATGGAATCAAATAAGACAAAAAAAATGTAAAACAATAAAAGAATAAATTGCGGAAATGTAGAATCATGGTTTACAAATCTTTGAATTTCGTCAGACATGTTTTCTAACCAATGAAAAGCTAAATAAATCATTCTAACCAATCAGAAAAGGATATTTCATTTAAGCAGATATTCAATGAAAAAGTAGGATCATAGTTAACAATTCTTTGAATTTTGTCAGACATCTTTTCTAACCAATCAATAACTAAATAGGTCATTGTAACTTTTCAGAAAAAAAAACCTGCTGCAACCATATTTTCACCATTGCCCAAATTAATAACAAAAAAGAAAAAAAAAATGCAAATCAGATTCAATTACAAAGAAAAAAATATTTATTTCTAACAAGCTAAATAAGTGTTCTTGCAAAAATTCATTGCTTTTTGCTGAGAATAAGATAACCTATTCTCTGAGTAACACAATGTAAAAAAGTATAGCAGAAAACAAACTTAAAAATTACAATGCACCAAAAAACAAAAAAAAAAAAAGAATTGCGCCCCCCTGCTGTGTCAATGATAACAATAAAAAAGGGGGGGGGAGAGCCTTAGTTCTACAGTACACTTTTCAGTCCTTTCTCTCTTGTGTAGACAAAGTTCTCTTCTTGGTGACCAAACTCCCTTCTTTCTTCACTTATTTTCCTCCCCTGTATATTACGCCTTTCTTTTACGGCCATTAGAAGGTGAAAATTTACTTTAAACATGTGGTAAAACACTTTTTGAAAATACACGTGTTTGCTGCTACTTCTCAAATGGCTTTAGCTCCAACTCCACTTATGGACTTCTTTTCAAACTTTCTTTTCTGGGGATTCTTCAAGAGGACTTCTCAAAACTTTCTCTGAAGAGGAAACTTGCCCTCAGCAACTTTGTTACCCATGCATCCTTACTTATGGGCAAATGCAGCCTGCCTTTTCAGCAGGGAGAGAGAAAAACAAACCTTTTCTCTAAGCAGTCTCGTTTCCAACTGCTACTAAAGGTGTGGTCCCAGTTCTCCCTTCCCTTTTGAAGGGGGGGGGGGGCGGTTAACCTTTGAACCGTCCAATCACAGTCCTTTAAAAAAAATATCAGGAGGTTCTTAAGGCCAGTAACACAGTGGATGTCTTTTGTTCTCCCTTGACCTAAAAATTTTCAAAAACTAATCAGAAATGGATTGATTGATTTATCAATTACGGCTTAAGAATCCTTTTTGGGTTATTTAAAGCTAAAACATAATTCAGATTATAGATGATTGCTTACAGTATCTGTTGTTCTAAAAGGATACTTTATGGAATTAACATTAATTCCATTTATATTTTACGCCAAGCGAAGTTTCCTCCCCTTCCTTTCACACTCGTGCGTGTGTGCTGTGTTTTCACCCTACCTTTTCACTCACAGATAAACATAGCAGTAACCTACTTTGAGCTCCTACTGATTTGGACTCATAACAGATTTTGAATTTTCCGGCGTTTAGCGTTTTCAAACGGCCAGCGTTTGCAAGCCAGTTGCCTCTTAGCTTTTCGACCGGACTGGATGGGCAACTCATTTATTCCGTGCACTTAACCCATACGCAGGCGGAATATCTTATTTTTCAACAATATCGACTGCACCCTCTACCAAGACCTTTTCTCCTTTTGAAGCTGCCAACAGGTCGGACCTTTTCTCCGTTTTCTACCAGAAGACGTTTTAGAGACACACGACACTGTCATGAGCAAAAGTTCAGATTCAACTAATGGGCGATTTTATCCCTCGTCAGTGAACCGATACATACAGACAGGGATATCCTACTGAACGAACAAATTGCTAATCACAGGTCAGGACCTTTTTCTCCGTTTTCTACCAGAAGACGTTTTAGAGACACACGACACTGTCGCCGGCAGAAACTTCGTGTTCAACAGGTGACTTAAACTTACCCCTGGCTTCGAACCAAATAATACAGGCAGGGATAGTATTACCTTTGAACAAAAACATTTTTTCGCCTTTCTCTTTGGGCTCGCCAGAAACCATTCTACAAGACCATGCTTCGTTTCTCCCGCTAGATGCCCACAGCAGTCCAGAGCATTTACCAGCGGCCAATTCAATGTTTCACCAAAAAAAAAAACTCTGAGATCGACCGGACATTCTTTATAACTTTGAACCTGTACATTAAAAATATGCATAATCACTTACAACTTAAAATATCCACAGTGAGTACTCCTTTCTATCTGTGCGCACATTCTTTTTCGGAACTGTATAAAACTTTTCTTTTCCCCAGCTTTTGGCCATTTTGTATTTCTATTTTGGCGCGAACATATTCATTGATCCCGACCTTGGGATGAGTTTCTTGTTACTGTTTGATTAAAGTTTACTCATGTTTTATAAACAGATGTCTTTGTCATTTTTATTCCGGCTATCTTAATATATTTTATTTTATGCACTTGTTGATTGACCCCTTTCCTCTCACTGTTCATTCACGCACACATTTATCTTTTTACTTTGCTTGTAGACTCGGTAGTTTAGTGTGGTGTCTGGCACAAGGCCACTTAATAATAAACCAGCACTGCACGCTGCCGGGTCCGCAACAACTTCATCTAAGTACTAACCAGACAATCAGAAAAAGATACATTTGGTAAAAATGTAGGATGATGATTAAAAAGACTTAAGTTTTAATCTTTTCTAACCAATCAAAAGAGTAAAAACTCACCATGTTGTTTAATTAAAAGTTGAGGGACGATATCGATGATATCCAGAACAGCTTCATATAAACCTGAATAATTCAAGTTTGGGAAAATAGACAAGCGTACACTGTCTCTCTGACGAGGACCATAGCTTTCTGATGGAATATCAGGAACATCCTTGAGAACACTAATGAGAAATCACCAGAATAAATAAATAAATAAATAAATAAATAAAAAATGGTAATTGAAAAAAAAAACAATCAATAATGGAAGAATACAAAAACATGATTGGAAAAAAAAAAGAAATTGGCAATTGAAAAAAATAACTATTAATTAAAAGAAAATTGATAATTAAAAAATTAGGCAATTGCTTAATTAATCAGCAAATGGAAAAATACAAAAAATTGGTAATTAAAAGAAATTGGTAATTGAAATAAAGAAAATGATAACTATAAAACTGAATAATTGAATAAAAAAAAATGGTAATTAAAAGACTGGTAATAAAAATGGTAATTGAAAAAATGGTAAATTAAAAATGGTAATAAAAAATGGTAAATTAAAAAAATGGTAATTAAAACAAACAGCAATTGAAAAATGTAGTAATAATAGAAAAATACAAAAAAATTAGTAATTAAAAAAAAAAATTGATAGAACCATTGAACCCATACCAAGAAGTATCAGAAGCATTTCTAAACACAAAAATGTGACCCTGAGACCTCCAGAGGTTGGTCCAAAAAAAAGAGAAAGAAAGAAGGAATAAGAGAGAGTCTACTAATTGGATGATAATTGTTGAAATTGCAGGAATATGGATTGAAAAGTTGAGAAGAAAATTAAAAACAAAATGTGTTGAAAAATCATGTTTTGAGATAATCCCAAGGAGAATCGAACCCAGATTTAACTAGACAAAATTTAGTATGATTGAACAAACCCAAAACTGCCCAACCTTCACCCACCTCCCATCAATAAAGAAAGAGACAATTAAGGTATCCACAAAGATGTCAGATAAAATAAAAACGAAAAAGACAATTTCAGTGACATTCGTCCAGAGAAAATTTTATGTCCAGACATTAATTCAGATTCCCTTGGATGAAAGTGGTAAGAAAAAAATTAATTATTTTGAAATGACCATGAGCAGGAAGGCTGTGTTGTCTAGTCAGTCGTAAAACAAGAGAAAAGATAAACTTTTGCTTTAAGGAGAGTGGAAATAGATTTTTCTTTCTCTAATTCTTGAGTGGTTTGGTCGGCAAAGGGATCCCAGTACAGGGCAAGCTGATAGATAAGGACTAATGACTGAAAATTCCTTTTGTCTTACGCTGAACCATCTGGAAGTTGGATTTATCACTTCAGCCCCAGAAAGCTGAGCTTGGGTGTTAAGAAAGTGGGAGAAGGAAGAGAAAAAAATGGAGAGAGATTAGCAATGCCTGTATAGAAGCGAGGGTATGAGGCGAAGTGTAAAGAGAGTAGAAGTTAAGGGGTGACTTAATTCCTCTGACCACTTTCAAAAGGCGGGTGGATAACCCCACATTTGGAAAACGACTTGAGTAAATTTCCTTTTTCTATATGGAAATTTAGAAAATGTTGATAATTAGGGTAGAAGACAACCAAACCGTAATCAACCCCACCCTTGTCAGATGCAGGACTTCATATAAGCTGGAGATTTTGGACAATGGAGTTGAGTTAAGAAGCAGAAGAAAAGGAGAGTCAGAGAGACAAACTGGAATCTGCATCATTTGCTGAGACCTCCTGACCAAAGACCTTGTTCCAGACATGAAGACAAGAACTTAGAAATTTAAATTACTACTAAAACAAGTCAAAGACTCTGCAGAGGTATTCCAGTGTCATTTGATTATAACATGTTAAGGGTTAAAACTGCTGTATACAACAAATATATAAAACAAATCGTTATTACATTTTTAATCCAATTCTTTATGCCAAAGGATTCTTGTTTTTTTTTGTGCAGCTCCCAATGAATCGAACAATATACACTTTAAATTTGCTTCATCAACGATCTTCTCACCCTGAGATCAAAAACAAGAATGTGGCAGAGAAGTGAATGGTAGTGAACAGACAAACATCAGCTAAGTTGAGTGGAACACAATACCAGGAACAAAATGAGTCACACATTAACGAGTGAAGAGCCATTTAATTAGTTACCGCTGTCTAGGGCTGATGACAGGGGTATATATTTGGTTGCTGTTGACCAGGTTCAACACAGAGGCATTACAAAAAAGTTGATTGATTGTTTTCTACAGCTTATCAACCCTTTGCAGGTTATTTAAAGCCAGAAAATATGTTTTTAGATTGTAAGAATTTTTTTGGAAGATAATGATTTAGTAATACAACCCTTACTAATTAACCCATAGCTGGGAGGAGAAGAGGTGGCTTCATAACTTTTTCAAGGGTATTTGTGCATAATTGAATATAATGAATCCAACTGTAATTGGGACTCAGTTAGGAAAGTCATACTAATTAAAAAGAAAATCCAAAACAAACAAGATGTCATAGTTCAGAAAATCTACACACACATAGACTCTAAATATGCATACAGCTCAGCAATTGACAAAATTATGTCCAAACAAAGACAGAAAATGAATTTGCAGAGATTTATTTATTTATTTTTTAATCATTTCACAACAAGCAAGACTATGAAGACATTAAGATGCAAGAAGTTACTGAAGATGTAAGACAATAGAGGGAAGGAAACTGAGAAAACATTTGAGGATTGGTTGATTGATTTGTTTTTCACAGCTTATCAATTTTTTGTAGGTTATTTAAAGTCAGAAAATAGTTTTAGATTGTAAGAATTTTTGGGAGTTTAGTTTCTGAAAGGCATGTGTAGATTTTTTGAACTATGATGTCTTTGATTTTCTTTTAATTGCTATCTCTGAGATTGTATTCTTTCCTTCACTATTAATTTTAAGAATTTTTGGGTGATAATAAGTTATCACTATTCACTATTAATTATTCAGTATTAATAAGTAATCATTATTCACTAATAATTTTAAGAGTTTTTAGAAGATAATAAGCATTTACAAGTCCTACTAATTAACCCATAACTGGGGAGAGATGAGGTGGATTCATAACTTTTCCAAGGGTATTTGTGCGTAAGTGAATATAATGAGTTGGAACTTGTACGTAGATTTTCTGAACTATGACGTCTTGTCTTGGATTTTCTTTTTAATTAGTAGGATTTTCTGATCTTTTTATACTTTACTTAGTTTCTGAAAGGCATGTGTAGATTTTTTGAACTATGCTGTTGTGGACCCAGAATAGGTCCGAAAGAAAACTTGAACTCAGCAATTTAGTGAAAACATATTATTAAACAAAAAGAACGAATACAAAAGTGTTGCACGTCTGACTGATGCCAAAGTACAGTAGTCAACTCGTCAACTGTAGACAGCGATATTTAGTTACCCCCCCTCACGAGGGTTACATGTGGCACAAGATCAGTTTAACGTGGGATCTCCGAGCCCGTAGGCTTGGTCAAAAATAATCCCTCTTTGAACCCACATAAACGGGTTCAGGGGCAGTCAACCTCCCCAAACGAGAGACTACCCTTCGGCAGGGCCTCATCCGGGTTCCTCTCTGCCCAAAGGCAGAGAGTTTGACTGTTTAGCTTTAACAGGTCAACTGTAGACAGCCCTCTTGAAAGGCATAATCTCCCCATATATATAGTAATAGAACGAGTCCATTTAGTCCATAAAGGTAGGTCCCATAACAGATGCCTTTGATTTTCTTTTAATTGCTATCTCTTAGATTGTATTCTTTCTTTCAATATTAATTTTCCAGTATCGTTAATAACGTTCAGAAAATGTATCCTTTGATAATATAAACCAATTCTTACCTCAACAGAGTCTGGGAAAAGTACTTCAAGGTGTTGGCAATATCCATTCCACTTGGCTCTGGAAGGACATTATTCCTGATCCGGCTGTGGTAATCCTGCAAGGTTCGGATCTTGGCTGTAACTTTAAAAAAAAAAATCACCATAAGAAAATCATGATTTAAAATTTCATTGTTTTATGGCAACAGAGTGAAAGGGAAATAACTAAATCCATTTTAGTTTTACAGAATTCAATTTAAGCAATAAAAGGAAATTTAAAAAATACAAACAATTTCAGTTATTATTTTGTGCATGCCTTTAAAGTATTACTAACAGAAAATTGATTCATTAGCAATTCATTAATTCCTGAAAAGATCAGGGAGGAGCCTGAACCAGACAATAGGCAAACCTATCTACTCCTATTAAGAAAAAATAAATAAATAGTAAATAAAATTTCAGAGTTTAACTGGTGACATAAGAGTATAGAGTTGAAATAGACTTTAAAAGAAACTGGAAACACAATCCTAAACAGGAAACAAGGAATAAACCTCTACTCCTGTTCAAAAGAGTGAAAAGACTGGGGAGGAATATGAACCGGATGATAAGCAATTTCACAATGTATAAATTCACTTTCATCATATGTTTAGGTTTTATTATAATTCTAATCATTGCTCTTTGAAGCAATATTGCCGACGAGTGAATAATAGTGGTGTCAAGGGAAAAACTGTATTTTTGAGACTCCAGTTTTTTTTTGCAGCCATCAATGTCCATGTTTACTAAAAAATCCTTTTATCAGATCACCTTCACATCTTGGGATCTGAGAGAAGAGATCAAGATCTGGAACATAGATATATCAATTCTGTGACATCATTTTAAACATTGCCGAGGAGTGAAGGTAGTTAAAATAATAGCCTTATCATCCTTTTGACACAAAGGTCCAAGTTTGCCTATTATTATTATTATTATTATATAATTATTATTATAATTTTAACACCTCCAAAATGAAGCTCTCATTAATCAACTTAGAAAACCTTTTTTGCCATCAGCATGGCTGATGCTAACCTTCATAAGAATTACTCATTGTGCCTTCTAAGGTTAACATTTTTCCACTGACATGAAAATATTGAATCAAATGCTAGGTCTGATGCTAGGAATGTTGGTTCAGTGTGTCATGCTAGCCAATTTTACTGGCCTGAATCTATCTTACCCTTTTATAAATCTACCAGTCAGCCATGCATTAAAGATAGCTGTCACATCTGGTCTGGTGCTTCTGTTAAGTATCTACAGGTTCTTGGCAACATCCAAATAATCTGCAATATTATTGGTCCTGACCTGGCATTTCAGATGCAGTTACTTTCTCACTGCTATAACGTTATTGTTTCACTGTGTCTTTTCTATAAATGTTTTCATGGTAATTGTTCTTATAAGATTTCCTCTTTAATAATTTTTAGAATTTAACAACAATACTAGATTGGCAGCTAGGTCTCTTCATCTTACAGATGAAATTGCAAGATGTAACCATAAGTTCTATGCTAACTGTTCCTTCTCACAGTTCCTGATTGTAGAAGTCTCTTTTGATTACTTGCTTTCCAATCAGCTTTGATCTTAAAAAATTTAAATGCAACATCAATTGTTATCTTGTTCTTTCATTGTCCTTTTTCTGTAATAATGATTTTTCTATGATTCTTTCACTCTCAGTAACCTCTTGAATCTTAGTGGCTTTATCATTTTACTTGGGGTGAAATGATTATACAGGGTGACCCAAAAAAACGGGAACTTTTTAACAATCCAATAAAAACCAAGAGTGATGGAAGAAAAATATTTTATTATTCATAGTAATTGAAACCTCAAAACATGCCATCTAAAAAACAATGATGGAATTTTCATTTTTTTTAAATTATGTCCTGTAGATGGCGTCCTACTGTATGAATGCATTCTTGAAATCTGCTGTTAAGATTCCTAATTGACTACTGCAACATCTCAGCTAGGATACTGTGAATTTCATCTTGAATTCTAAATGGCGAAATGTTTACTTGCTCAAGGTCACTGTCTTGCAGTGTTGCCACTTGCTCATGTCTGGCACTTAAAAAATTCCCGTTTTTTTGGGTCACCCTATATATATATATATATATATATGATAGGGGCATCTCGAGGTAGTGTAATGGCTAGCAAGCTTGTCTTGCTAGAACAGTTATGATTGAGTAGTCATATCGATCCTCACTGAGTGCCTCATACTTTCGGCCTTGTGCAACATCTAAGCTACACTTTAAAAATCTCTGTATATATATATGATAGATAGATAGATATTATGTAGCAGTTGAACACTCATTTTTCATCCTGGTTATGACGATAAACTACATCTGGCAGCAAGGTCTCTGATCAGTAAATTGGAGGAGGGGGAGACAACCTCTTAATTGCTGTTGTTCCCCAGTCTACCCTGACCTGGGGAGGTAACACCTGTTAAGATCACAGCTATGAGCAAATAGTGAACACCAAGATAAAATTTAAAAATATAGGAGAGTATAAAAACACATTTTTATAGTAAAAATACAAGCAATACATTTTTCTAAAAAAATTACTGGCAATATATTTTCATGAAAAAGAAATTACTGACAACGTATTTTATAATGAAATTAAAGACATGTCAAATATTGTTCAAAAAAAAAAAAAAAAAATACAGGGTAGTCTGAAAGTCTTGTCACCTCCTACCTCTCTTCCATACTGTAGGAGCTGATGTCAGCCATCTGAAATAGAAAATATTATGTAGAGGTGACAAGACTTTCGGACCACCCTGTACAATGTCCTTTGATTTTGTAGGATTATTTGGTTTTAAAAAAAATATGCTGCTACATGATTAAAATTTAATCATGAAACTATCATCAAAATAACATCATTCTCTTGAATTAATTATATAGTTTGAATTTTTATATTTAAATTTCAGCATTAAATAACCCAGAAATGTTGATATGCCACTAAACAAAATCAACCAAACTAAAACCCTGTTTCTTTGTTTCTAACATTATTTTCCTATCACTTTATACTTTGCTTAGTTTCTGAAAGGCATGAAATTGTCTTTTCTGCCATATACAAGATTAGATATTATATACCATTTCAGCACTGTTTTTTTTTAATTTTTAATGACATTTTTCTCTCATAATATTTTTGCTTAGTTCATTTTTTTTAACTAAAGTTCATCTAAAACAATTCTCAAGAATCACTCAAGGCAGAGTGTTACTGAATGGAGCATGTGATATGAATGTAAGACAAGTAGAAAGTGAAGATTAGGATGATATGGTAGATAGATAACATTGACCTTAAACTTAAAGAGATAAGATTGTAGTGTTTAGGGAAACATCCATGCATGAGTTCATTTCATAAAGTAGCTGTTCTAGAAAGAATCTGTCTGAATGAAATGCCCTTTGTATTCTTCTATGTGCCATGTCCATTCAGGACATTGGCGATCATGGCTCTCCACAATTTCCTGTATTTTATAGCTCTTATTAAATTTTGTCTTTTGGTTATCTCTCCTAAACCCTGTTCTGCCATCCATTTACACAAGCTTGCTAGGTAGGTTTATGTGTTGCTTTCCTCTGTCTCACTTGCCTTCAATATGTCTTGTGAGTATCAAAATTTCCAAGATCTCTTTCCTCATTACATGCCCAAGAAATTTCAACTCTCTTTCTGATTTTAAATATGTCCTTTTTGTTTCCATTTTCTCTAAAACTGTCATTGCCCACATATTCAGTCCATGGTATTCTCAGCATCCTTCTGTAGAACCACATTTCTGTTGTTACAAGTTTTTCTGTAAGATTGCCCAGTATTCACTGATATATAGGAGGACTGATATTACGTAACCATTCACTGCTTTTTTCTTTGTTTCTAATTTTCCGGTTTCTTAATGCTTTGCTTAGCTTTTGGAAGGCATCTTTTCCTATCCCAATGTGCCTTCAGATATCAGTTTTGCACTTTCCATTCTCTGTTAAAACACTTCCCAGATATTTAAATTGTTGTACTCATTTGATATTGGTATATCCAATTTGTAATCACAAATTGGAATATTCTTAGGAATATATAGGGAATGAGGGTGATTCAACTCTGTAGATGTAGTAAGGTGGAACTTGCCTGCAAAGGTCTGGGCTAGTAGCAAAGTTTCTGAAGGGGATCTCTCACTTTTCCTCTTTGTCTTTTGACTTCTATGTCACAATTTCCATTATCTGATACTACACTAGCAAGATAGTTCAGTTTCTGTATCATTTTGCTCTTGACATCCCTAATATGCAGTCATAACTTAGGCTGTCTCTTTTGCTGACAATCATGCATTCTGTCTTCTTACAGTCAATAGTTAATTCTTTCTTGCATTGCTTTACTACTTTGTCCAAGAGCTTTCACTTTTCTTCCTAAGTTTGCCATTAACACAATTATATGCTTTTGATGACGTTGGCCAATAATAAATCCTGGTAGGATATCTAGTTCTTGCTGTACAGGTTAAATAAATCTGATGATGAAACAAGTCCTTGTTATACTCATCTTTCTATTTTAGTGTATGTGGTTTAAATTAAGTAAGTCTTCTTTCTTCTCTTCCACTTGACACTCGCAGCAATTGAGCAACTGGCAAAAATCCTTAGTGTGTGTGTGTGTGTGTAAGGGGGGTAATCCAGAGTAACAAAGGTTCTCCTGGCAACAGGCAAACCACAGGCTTGAGAGAAAAAGCACTGACTTTTATAGATCTCTACTTATTCCAGTCAATAAGGGTAAGATCTCTATTAAAAGCTGAAGTCTCTAGCTGGTTGACTGAAGGTTGTCAGCTCACTGCACTGTGTGGTAAATTTTATTTTTCTCTTCAGCTACAGTGTATTCACTTGTTCTCTACATGCATGCAGGCTATTTGTTCCCAGTTGAGGTTATACATTACTCAAATATTTTCCCTACAAATTACTCCTAATAATTCAAGTAGATTATTTGTGATATATCATCAAATGCCTGAATGCAATCTATGTAGTATAAGTTTATGTTTTTCTGCATTTGGATTACTTACTCTGATCTGAAAAATAGCATTTCTTGTTCTAGTCTCAGGTAAAACCACTATTCTTATCCTATTTCTAATTTAATTCTGCTACAATCTCTATTCATTAGAATCCTAATAATTAGTTATATTGCTCGTCAAGCTGATTATTAATGGAGTTCATATTCATTTCCACCTGTTTTCTTTTTGGCAATATTATGAAGACATATCTACTGACTTCCTGTATTTCACCACTGTCATATATTTCATTTATCATTTCAGTAACCTTCTAAATCCAGAAATTGTCTCAGGCTGACAACATTATCACAATCTCAACTGGTCCTGCTGTTTTTATTCTCTTCATCATGGCCAGTGCTGATCTTACCTCAGATTTTAATACTACAGGTCTTTCTATACATGTTATGTATTTTAGATTTATAACCATTGTTGTCATTTAATACAGATCTTTCTAAACATGGATTATCCCACTTGACCTTCCCAAAAACAAAAAAGAACAAAAAACAATCACTAGGGGATGCTCCTTAAGCATATAAATAGGCAATGATATTCTCACTCATTCTCTTTTACAACTCCAGCTATAAGATGTAGCCACATATGGGGGAGGGAGTGTCCCCTACTGGGGCACATTCATTTTCAATGTCTTACTTTTCTCTCCTGACTTTTTTTTACTCTTTCACACACGTGTCTATCACATAGGTCTACACAAATTTCACACATACCAAAACACATTCTCTAATTTAAATGTTTTCTTCTTTTATTGTAAATATTTTGTTAATACAAGCATTGTCATTTGTTTTATATTCTTTTGTGTTACTCATTTATTACTTGGACTCACATTTGAGTCTGCAATAATTGTTACAGGGAAAATAATAGCAGGAGACACGTGTTTACTACATGAATACAACAAGCATTCCAGTTACATATATGTTATATATTTTAGATTTATCACTTTTGTCATTATTTAAAAGCTTCCCAGAGGTATTCAGTCCATCTCTATAGTATTTTTACTTTCGTTTACTATTATAGAAACTATCTCACGTGTTGACTATTGTGGCATGTGGGAGCTTCCTTACTTTGCTCGATTCAGCAGCAGCAGTGGAAATAATCATCAGGATACAAGTTCCTGAGTTTCTAAAAACCTTGACCGAACCCTATTTGGCCTCTTTTTCATTCTATTTCACCTGCCTATAAATTCACCTGCCTATAAATTTGGCCAGCTGTCTCCCTTTATTCTTTTCACACTTTCAGCAGTTCAAGAGGGCTAAATGCAACCCCCCGTTACAGACGACAAGGTCTGTCTTGGAAGCTTGTCATTAGATTTCTTGTTTCTCCTGCAGGGTCTAGCGTAGAAATCTCCCTCGAAGCACACCAAAGGAAGCTATGCTGAACCCTTACTGCAAAGGATGAGGCCTGTCCTGGCAGTTTCACACTTGAATTTTTTGTTCCTACCACAGGAAACAGCAGAGAAATCTCCCTCAGCAAACAATTACTATACTCTCTAGAGCATTATTAACTGGGAAAACTCCCCCACCATCAAATTACTACTATTTTGCACTTTTTTTTTTCAATCAAATAAAAAGCTGTTGAACAGTTACTTTTCAAGCCTTTGGGTTTTTTGTTCATTTCACTCACTCTGCTGAACACAAACACAAAAAAATTTGGTAACGGAAGATTCGGTAACAAAAAATTCAGTAATTTTGACAAGGTAGGAAAATTTGGGTCAATTGAAAATTGATTTTAGGGCTGTTCTAGATCAGGGATTTGGGGAGTAAGCACCCCTCTCCTATGTTTTTAAATAACTGAAATTCATGGAGTCCAAGTAAAACCCCACTACAATACTAGGACTTACTTGCAAAAGGGAGAGGGGCTTAGGGAGCTAGGCCTTTTTCCCCAATATTTTTTAAAATGTATTATTAACTATAAGAGTCTAGATAAGAAGCCACTACAACAATACCAGGGCCATACTTTCTGGAGGGGGCTAGCCCCCATCCCCACTACGTTTAAATAAATATTAACTAAAAAAATAATGGGTTCCAATCTAAATAAAACCCCACTGCAACAATACCAGGGCCATACTTTCTGGATGTTTGGTAGGGGTCTAAGACCACACTGCCAATATCTTTAAATAAATACTTTTAAATAAGTATTTATTTAATTACTATCTATTGGTTTCAAAAAATAAAATCGATTTCTAAGTTAAAGTTCTTGTATCTTTAAAAATTATTATTTTAATAAAAAAAAGTAGTAAATAAATTAAGTTTTTTCAGATAGTTATTTCTTTTTAAAGAAGCAAAAAAACTTTATAGCCTCATTTCTATTTAAAAAATATAGAAGCAGAGGGCTTCCCCCCAAAAATTCCAACTCCAGAACAGCCCTAAAATCAATTTTCAGTTGACTTTTATTCCATAGTTACTGAATTTTCTGGGCATCCACAAATGCACACACAACTGGGGAAAGTCCTAACACTATTTTAATATTTTATGCATCCTGCTGAAGAGCATGTTTTCTGTGCTGTTATTTATTTTATCTTTTTATGTACCTATGTCAGTACTCTGCAGTCTTTCTAACTTTGTGCAGTTCTCATGGAGGCAGGCGTCTTTTGATTGCTTCTTGTATATTTACTTCTGTTTTTGCATTACTTCCAATATTCTGTGCGATTATCTGGTGTCTGTTTTTCATTAGCTTGAGAATTTTATTCATGATCCACTTTTTTCTTGTTTATTTTTCTTACGATGACCTCTTTTGCTGTTATCATGCATGCTTCCATTACTAAGGTATTTGTGCGAGTCTATCACGCACAAACATACATACATACAAAAATACAAATCACATACAACGCCAAGTAGTCATTGGTTAATTAATCACCACTATGATATTATAGACAATTTACAAATTGCAGCAATGTAATCGCTCTATTTCATGTAGTCAGTTTTGTGCACTTTTGGGAGAAACGGATCACAAAAGCTTTCTTAAGTCTCCCCAAAGCTCACTCGTTGATTGGTCAATGCTAACCAATCAGATCGTCTGCATGTGAAGAATAATTCTTCCCGCGCAGTGATCTGGAGCCTATAGTCACTTATTTAAGCAAGAATTTTTCTTAGCTAATTAGTGAGAATTCAGCTGCTAAACGAATCCACGACAGTTGAAACCATGTGCCAACCTTCTCACTCACACACACCACTCACATGCTGAACATACCTTGTATACACTCACATAATCTTTTCTAACATGGCAAATCTTTTAAGAAAAGTCATTATAAACATTCTTCCAGCGAACTTTGAAATACTAAAATAACAGTTAAAGAGAGACAACTCTTGTTTATTTCAACCTTTTCTTACTTAAATGCATGTTTTCTTTCACATCGTTGTTTGATATTGTACATTTTGTTAAATACATATTTTATGTGTAACAATGTCTTTGGCTTATCCTTTTCTGCGTCAGCCCTGTTTCCTAATCTAAAGTTAAATTAATGTGATGAAGTCCGCCACATATTCTTTGAGTTTACTGACCACCTCTAAGGTTTCATCTTTCTCTTAAGTAGTACAACTGCATACGTTTGCTTGCAAATTTGGTTAATTAAATTACTAGTTAATGTTATTTATTCATGGGTTGGTGTTTAAAAATAAATACGTGTTGAAAAGATTTTTTTTTTTATTTCGTCGTCCGTTGTGAAAAGTTCCAATTTATTTCAGTAATCAAATTTAGAATCACATTTTTCAACCTTGCATTACCCTTCGCAACTATTTATTTACTAAAGTTATTGCTTGTTTTAATGTTTGGTTACTGAAAAAAACACTTTAGTTATTTCGATGACTTAATTTGTTTGTTCATCCGTAATGAGAGCCTCTGTCTTCACATGTTTTTTTTCTGTGATGTTACGGACATTTTTCAGCATAGACCACAATGGTCTTGCTTTGTATCTTTTTTAAAAAATAAAATAAAAATAGCATTGATCATTGCATTGAATCAGTGAATAATATAATAATAACTACTAATTTAAATAATAATTGTTTTAATTTAAAACTTTTAAAAGAATATTTTTGGCTCGTATATTGAAAATTCTCTTCCATTACGTAGGGCTAAAAGAAAAAAAGGGTCGCAAAACAAGAGTTTCGTGATTTTTTTTCCCAAAAGTGATTTCGAAACTTCAAACGTTAAAACTTAAAATCAGCCTTGATAGAAACTAAAAAGTTCTACTAGTCACTAAAAAGACTCCCCCCACCCCACCTAAAAAAAACTAATATTAGAAAAAGAAAAACGGGAAGAACTTGAATAACTCCAAATAAATTCTTCTGGTTTTGTTTTCAACGTGTTGAATTTTTAAGATCACATTCACTTCTTACTTCTGATGAACTAATGAATCTAATCTTTCAACTTCGCGCCAAAAATTCGATTAATTATTAACTTTTATATGCGATATGAGTAAGAAGATAAATAAAAATTGATTACAATTATTACATCACTATCCTACTCCAGTTTATTTTTATTTTTTAAACTTTCATTCTAGACGAGAGAAACCGGGTTCGTATTTAAAGAAAAGTATTTCAGAATTACTACTTGTATATCTGAAAAAAATAAAATATTTGTAATAAAAGGCAATATCTTAAAATAAAAGTATAATCGAATTTTAAAATTTAAAAAAAAAAAAAAAGTGTTTAATTTTTTTTTTTTAATTTTTATCTGAGAGGAAAAGATCGATTTGTCAGTATTAGATAAATTTTTAAAACTTAAAAATTTATAAAAGTTAAAAAAACAAATAACTTCATTGTGCTTAGTGTTTTCAGTTTTACTTTTGTTTGAATTATCAAAGAGAAAGATGTATCAACAAGTTATGGCTCAAACAAAACGGTATTGGAAAAAAAAAAAAAAAGAGTAAAAACATGCAACATGACACGTTTACAATTCAATTAGCTTCACTATTCTTTGCAGAAAATATCAACTACCTAGACACAATATCCTTTTGTTTTTACTTATATTTTAAAATTTAAAATTACGTACAAGTGGCCGCCCTTGTAGCCATTTTGTTTTACTGCTGTGATGATGTTTGTTGTTATATATAGGAACTGCTTTCTCTCCAAGAACAAAGCATTTTCTTCGACTCTTTGCTTCTTCCTGGTTTACACCCGAGCATTAACTCCTATAAGGTTGGCCGTGCATGTCATCTATAAAGATATACGAAAGGAATAAGTAGCTCTATGATAAATTGGGTCTGAAAATAGATGAAGAACGGTTGGAAGGCAGCATCTCTTGATGGAGCCTTCCGCTTCTGGTTCCGTGAAGAGACAGAAAGAAAAGAAGGAAAGAAACAATTTATATTGGAATTCTTCATTTCCTTCTTTCTTTTTATCTCTTATTCTCGGAAATAAATTTCACCTGTAATTCTGTATTTATTAAAAAACAAAAGACAGATTCATAACTAAGCTAAAATCTATTTTTTTTCGACTTGTTCAAATTTTTTTTATGAATTTTTAAACGAAATAATTTTCATCGTTGACAACTTTCGCTTTGACTTTGAGATATAAACAAAAGAGTTACCTCCCCTTAATTATTTTTTAAAGCAATGAAAACTTCAAATTTGGACAATAGTTTTAGATTAAATTTTGATTAAATGCAGAATATATTAAAACTTTTATTTTAAAATACAGATTAATAACCCCCTTTATATTTTTGTAATTATTTCTTTTTAAACTTTAATCCAATTTGAACTTGATATTATTGAGCAGATGAATAATATTGTAACAAATGAATGTACATTCTGTTAAAAAAAGAGAAGAAAATGCATAAAAAGATATGCAAAAAATTAAATAAAAATTTAACAACTTACAATTGTATAGAATAATTTTTTCTATTATTTTTTATAATAAAAATTGATTTCTTTGGTTTTAAAATTCATACGTTACTTATTTTAATTGGATTGGCTTTTTAATTTCTTTTCAAAGAAAGCATTAAAAATTTAACAACCAGCCAATTTTTGCCAACAAAGGTCTACTACTGCAAAATCAATAAATGAATAAAAAATGATTAGATAGATATCAGTAGAGTGATATAGATAAATAGATACATAGAATAACAGACATAGATAGATAGATAGATGAATAGACCTAGATAGATAGATAGATAGATAGATAGATAGATAGATAGATAGATAGATAGATGATGAACAGGCTTAGATAGAGAGATAGATAGATAGATATATAGATAGATAGATAGATAGATAGATAGATAGATAGATAGATAGATAGATAGTTTTATTTGGACAGACAGAGATAGCTAGCTAGAGATAGATATGAATAGATTGAGATAGACAAAAAGAACATACTGAAGTAGATAGATAATGGACAGCCTGAGGTAGATAACAAATAGATTTAGACAAACAGATAGATAGATATGAACAGACAGATAGATCATTAGATATATAAGAATATACTAAATTAGATAATGAACAGCCTGAAATAGATTATGAACAGATTTAGGAACAGACTGAGACAGACAGATTGATAGTTATATAAGAACATACTGAAATAGATGGATAATGAACAGCCTGAGGTAGGTAGGTAGGTAGATAGATAGATAGATAGATAGATAGATAGATAGATAGATAGATAGATAGATATAAATGAATAAACATTGTAAGTTCTGTGCTAACAGTTTCTTCTATTGCACTTCTCACTTGTGGGACTCTCTTCTGGCTTCTTGCTTTCCAGTTAATACAATGTCAATCATTATCTCATGTCTTCTTAATTCCTGTCCTTAATAATGTTTTTCTTTTTTGATATTCTTTCACAATCAGGGACCCCTTATGTCTTAGTGGATTTATTGTCTTGTTTGAGGTGAAATGATTAAAACAAAGTTGATTCTTAGGCTGGAAGTGATGGAAATGATACTGATGCCATATGGGAATTCACAGGTACACAGTTTGCTTCAAAAAGTTGTGGTTACTGTGAAGAGTCAGTAACTCTGCTACTATACCTAAAATATATATATATTAAACATGTGTTTAACAACCAAGATGATAATACTGTTCTAAATAGAAAGGTATATAATAATAATAATAATAATAATAATAATAATAATAATAATCGGTTGGTCCTCGTTAACGGATTTGAAGTGTACTCATTCCGATCGCGGGGCCTCCTGCCCGTACCAAACAAGCTGATGTAGACAAAACCCATACCCATCAGTGGCTACGTAGTGCAGGGTTGAAAGCGGAAACTGAAGGTTTTATCCTTGCTGCGCAGGATCAATGCTTGCTAACTAGGAATTATCAAGCACATATACTAAAATATTGTGTCAGCCCAAAATGCAGATTCTGTGATAAATATCCAGAAACGATTGATCATCTTGTATCAGGTTGTATGGTGTTGGCACCCACTGAATATAAAACCCGACATGACAGAGTGGGCCAATATCTGCACTGGAAAATCTGCAACTTCTACGGGAAGGAAACTGAAAGAAACTGGTATGAACACCACCCTGACCCGATTACGGAGATAGGACCTGTTACAATTCTATGGGATTACACAATACACACTGACAGAACAATCAAGGCCAACTGGCCAGATATTGTTATTAAAGACCACAAACAAAAACGATGCCTCCTTATTGATATGGCAGTCCCTGCTGACTACAATGTATCTTTGAAGATATTCAAAAAGTTGTCAGAGTACAAAGACCTTGAAATAGAAATCTCGAAAATGTGGCATATGGGAACATCAACAATCCTTGTTGTAGTTGGAGTGAATTTTCTGTTGTAGTTGTAGCAAATTTTCCATTTCATCCTCAAGCGAATTTTCAAGAAAATTCTCTTGAGGATGAAACTGAACTAATGTCTTTTATTTAATTACAAAATTAAATTCAGAGCTTTCAGCTTCCATTTTTGAAACATGGTTAGAACTATGTAGCGAAAAAAAACATATTTTAAATCAATTAATTTATAATATTAATGCTCTGTAAATTTACATTGAGCACTATTTTGTAAAAATAAAAATATCTATAAGAACACCGGATTATATATCTTACTGTTCTTTCTTTTTATTTATGTATACATATATATACATATATAGATATATATATAAATTTATAACTAAAATGTGTAAATGTAAATTTCTATGTTTTTGTTTAATAATTTTTTCCTGATGGGTTATGTAAAATGTTAATTTTTAAACTATAGTTTACGTTAGAATATATGAGAAGACATTATTATTATTATTATTATTATTATTATTATATAACTCCCTATTTAGAGCATTATTCTCATCTTGGTTATTAAACTCATCTTTACTGTTTCTCATACAGTTACTGAAATTAAGCCACACTGAGGTCGCATCAGTACCTAGATGGTACTTGTGAACACCAGCTGCTGTATGCATGGATGTATGAGTAGTGTCATGCATATTGGTTCCTTGGAGAGTCTGATTTCTAATTCCAGTCAGATTTGTTTCTCCTCCAGCTATGGGTTAAATAGTAGTGCATGTATCAATAAATGATTATTATCTCCAAAACATTCTTATAATCCAAAAATATTTTCTGTCTTTAAATAACTTGCAAAAGTCAATATAAAACAAATTGATCAAGAAATTTATGTTTTGGCTGTTGTACTCTACATCCTTCTTCAGATGTCTTGGTAATCTTGGAATTTTAAACTGAATACTTACATTAATTTTCAAAAATTGCTCCCCTTTGACACTCTCATAACTAAAAAGGGAAAATTTTACCTGGAATTACCAAGCAGACAACTTTCACTGTGAACTCACATGGAGAACAAGGTAGATTGTTCTCATTCCACTTTCCATAGTTAGGAGAGATAATTTGTATCAGTTAGGGGAGATAACTCATATCAGTTAGGGGAGATAATTCATATCAGTTAATACTAACGAGTCTTATTTCCCTTTGTGTCACTTGTTTGTTTCTTCCACTGAAGCAGAACATGGGGCTTTTCAGTACTACCAGACACCAGGATTAAACTTGCAACTGCCAGTGGAGGGAATGGGCAAGTGACACAAAGATGAATAAGGCTGGTGAGTATTAAAAGGATTTTATTGAGAGAGGAGAGAATGCCAAATCTCTCACCCAGAGTTTTGTGAAAGATACAAATGAAAACACAACACAAGACTCTTACTCTGGTATGAAATTTGTAAAAAACATTTATTACAATAACATTAAAATAATAGCATAGAATACAAAATTTACAAAACAAGTTTCCCCAAAACTTTCCTTTCTGTGCCTAACACTTAGACAAGATAACAAGTTCTAAATTCCAATACTCTTAGGCTCATGAAAACAATTAGAATTTTCAAAAAAATATTCACTTACTTTTATTCATTTAATTGTCAAAATTATTTGAGAAGGATGGCAAATTCAGTAATTTATAGACAATAATTCAGTCTTACAAACAGAAAATCAAATCTCGTATTTTCACAAAAGTTCAAAATCAAGGTTAATACTTCTAATTTTGTGTATCTTCTTTCTTTCTGCTTCTTTTTCTTCCTCTTTGTCAGCATTGACTTAAGTTTTCTTAGTTCTGTTCTCAGAAACAGCCCATGGTCATTTACCTGTCAAAGCCAAAACCCTTCTTGTCCTTAGACCAGCCTTAGACTTCTTAAATAGCTACAAATTGGCTCTAGATTCAATCCAAAATTTGAAATTAATGTAAATATATCTTATTTTCCTCATTGGTTAAAAAACACGAAAATGTATCTCTTTAAACCACATCTGTACACAAACTATCAGGTCATCCCATAAGTTCTGTCCGAATTTTAACTTTTTGTTAAAATGAATGAAATTTAAAGAGTATTTTATAATGTCCAATGGAGCTGAACATTATTTTTATGTTTAGATGCATTTAAACTGATCAAATTTTATTTCAGAGAACAATAAAATTAAATTTTGTTTGATTAAAACCCTGCTAACATGGAAGTACCCAAGAATCATTTGAGGCACATAATGCTTTATGAGTTCAAGAAAGGAAACTCAGCAAACGAAGCGACTAGAAACATTAACTCAGTTTATGGAGAGGAATGT